GAGCCCCAGATTCTGGAAGCTGACAGGAAGAGAATGGAGAGGATGAACCCAAGTCCCCAAGCCATAAGTGAGCTCTTAAGCTAACTTCATGGGTTAGGCTGCAGGAGGAGGTGTGAGGGGGGCGCCGGAGGACAGGGCATGGGGCAGACAACAGAGAATGTGCCAGGTCCCAGAGATGTGAGGACAGGAGGAAAAGCGACAGAAGCTTACCTGTCCGCTTACTACAAAGTTTGTCTTTAACATTGTCAGCCTCTCGGGAAAAGAATTCAATGAGTTCATCCTCGTACTCCTCCACGATGCTCTCACACTGTCAACCCAAGGGAGAAAGCAGTGAGAGAAGCCAGCAAGGGGACGCCTCTAGCCTCCACCTCCAGAGAGGAGGACAAGGATGTGAACCCAACTTTCCACCTGGGCTCTCCAATAACCCCCCTAATTTTCAAGAACCAGCTACCCATTCCCATAGCTCACCGCGAACTTGAGGGTGCCACTGATGTCTGAATCAATTCGAATGCCCTGTAGGTCCAGTTCACTGGATTCTCCATTCCGGCCCACGACACGTACATAGTTCTTGCGGTGCGTGGAAGGGTCGATCTGTTCCCCATACTCCTTCATCCGGTCGCATACCTCCTCTAGCAGCTCTGTGAGGTGGGCCTCTGAGCGAGCATAAGGCACCTAGAAATGTCCTCAGCCTTGGGTCATATTCTCCTACCTCTGTACATTAATAATTTATACCCTTACTTTTCCTTCCAAATCTAGCTTGATCAACCTATTCTAACAAGCCTTCTCCAATTTAAAACCATTATGATTTGTGTAATTACGAAGCCCTAGTGGCTCAGCAGTAAAGAATCTGCCTGCCAATGCAGGAGACCTGGGTTTGATCCCTGGGTCGGGAAGATTCCCTGGAGAAGGAAATGGCACCCCACTCCAGTATTCTTGCCTGGGAAATCCCATGGACGGAGGAGCCTGGTGGGCTGCAGTCCACGGGGTCACAAAGAGTCAGATACAACTTAGCAACTGAACAACAACAAAGTCCATTCAAATATGTGACCTTATCTCACCTCATTATACCAGCCTAAGAAATAAAATAGGTGTCTTTCCAAATTATAGATAAATGACCTCTTTGATTAACCCTGGTCACTATGTGTTCTCTTCCTTTGAATTCCTTTAATTCTTATGGCTGTAAGGTAAATTTTTTTGGTATTAAAATGAGGCTAATACCTGCCCTTAAAAGGAGAGCATCAGACAGATGCATGCATGCTAAGTTGCTTCAGTCAGATAGTGTAGGCTTTGAAGATAACTATTAAAGCATTTCACAAGCATCATAACATTTCCCAAATACTCACTAGGTACAGCTTTCTGTCTGCATGTATTATGTTTTCTACTAAAACAAATTTCCTAAATATATAGATAAGACCTATATATATATATATATATATTTTTTTTTTTTTTTTGAATGAATGTATGTATACCATACTGTCATAGTGAAAACACAAGTCACATGGATTAAGGATATGGAAAGGGGGGCTAATCAAGGTTCTCTGTCTACTAACAACTTCTACAAAGTATTAGGATTTCTGCTGTGTTAGGGAGCCAGGGAAGCAAATGTATGGGGTACAAGCCTCCAGCCTCTTCCAAATGCAACAGCCCAACCTTTTAGATATCTCATTAGTTGAGTTCTCATTCAAAGTTAGAGTGAGCTATTTGGGGGAACAGTCAAATTACCTCCACCACTGACTGGCTGCCATCTGGATTGATTCGGAAAGAGCCCATCTGAATGGTCTTCTTGGGATCCACCTGGGAAATTTCCCACTCAAGTTCATCCACCAGAGCCCTGCAAGCTGATGCAAGTGGGGAGGGGGAGAAAGGAATCAACCTATGGGCTTTCACTCATCCTTCTCCCAGGCCTTGGATCCCATCCTCTCCACGACTCTTATCTTCCCCATCCCACCCTGCTTCCTCCCATGTCTTCTGTTCCTTCACCTCCACAGTGTAGATCCTGGCTCCTCCGGGCCCAAGCAGTTCCCAACAGGGCCCCCAGAAGCAGGGCCAGCCAACCCCAGCCTTTCATCTTTGACGCGATGGGGTTGCTCCACCTGCGTTTAAAGCATAGGTGTGAGAAGCAGACTCCATTCCCCCGCCCGCCCGACCCGCCACCACCACCCCTCCCCAGCCCTCATCCCAAGCCCACAAAGGCCTCAGTGTGATCTGGCTCTACTTTCCAGGAAATGGCCTGGACACAAAGGGGCTCCTCTGTTCCGGCGCTGGATGTCCCGGAGGCCCGGGGGCAGCGGGCGAGAGGGCGAGCTTGGGACTTGGGTCTTAGTCCCAGATACTACGTCGACAGGTGAGCCCTCAGATGTTGGTACTTGAGCGGTGGCTGCCTAGGATCACAGGGCTATGTGGCAGCCATGGGTTGGTGGCTGGGATTAAGCAAGGACGACAGGCTTGGAGCTGCTGCTGGCAAGGAGAGTAGCTGATTGGGGCTAAGAGGTAGCGAGGGGGCTGGCTGGCGAGAAGAGCGCTCAATAACCAGGGCCTATTTGGACCCAGCACCGAAGACTGCTGCATCCCCACCTCCAGCCTATAAGCTACTCCTCCGTGCGGACCAGCCCCCTTTGTAAAGACCCCACCACTGCCTGCGCTCCCGTCCAGCCCCGACCCTCAGTGCCGCTCGGATCCATCCCACCTCTGCTCCCAGGGCCGCCGCCGTGGCCCAGGCACTGGAAGACAGCCGAAGTCTCACTTTAGCTCCCGACCCTAGCACCTGGCTGCGGGGGAGCGGGGCTGTCCAGGCGTCTCCAGAGCGCTCCTGCGCGCTCCAGACACGGGGTGCCCGGGTGGCTGCCTGAGCTAGCTCCTCGAGTCCGAAGTGGATTCCCAAGCAGGGCTCAGGGCGCTGCAGTACGCGTCCCACACCGGAGACCGACCCCAAACCCGCCCCTCCAAACTCTCGCGCGAACAGGCAGCTTAGGAGCGGCTCCCAGACAGCAAGGACCCCGGTGGATCGCAGGACCCAGACTTGCGTGGCGAGGAGCTCCACGTGACCATCAGGGGTCAGCCGAAGAATAGGAGTGGCTTGAAGCAGGGTCAGAGCCTGACGTCGTGCGCGGAGGCGGTCAGGCTCACACACGCCAACCTAGGTGGGCTCGGACCTTCTAAAAGAAAGGTATGCGGCTAGCCAGTGAGAAGCCCTGGTTTTAATACCCGGGAAACTACATCTCCCAGGAAGCACCACATCACCACGCTGATACTTTGTTAGTAGCTACAGGTTTTAAGGTTCCTGGGACCTGTAGTTTGTCAGGTTCTCCAACTCACATTTTACAAAAACCGGGGAAACCATACTGTACCTCTTACAAGAATCCAACCCTAGGGTTCTAGGCAGCCACACCAGAGGCCTAACTGCCCAGGAATGACATACTTCTCCAATATCCTGAATTTTGGACTTGAGAATTTTATCTTCATTTCTGGGTGAGAATTTGACTTAGTTTTTTCCAGTTGTGATATTGGGTTTCCAAAAGAGTTCCTTTGGCTTTTTTCATGTAAGATGTCTGTAGTGGTGTAGTTGTCTTTTAACTTCATTGGAAGCGATTTTGTTAGATTGTAGTGTGACAGTTGTCATATCAGCATGCACTAAAAATACTTAGAAAATTGGTTAATTATTGTGTAGCCATTTTACTATTTAAGATGAAAGAAAAAAGCAACATTTTTGGCATATTGCTTTATTATTTAAAGAAAGAGAAAAATGCAACTGAAAGGCAAAAAGATTTGTGTTGTGTGTGGAGAAGGCGCTGTGATTGATGAAATGTGTCAAAAGTGGTTTGCAGAGATCTCGGCTGGAGATTTCTTGCTGGAGGATGCTCCACGGTTGGGTAGGCAAGTTGAGGTTGATAGCAGTCAATCAAGACATTGAGAACAATCAGTGTAAACTGTGAGGGAAGACAGCTGACATGCTCAAAATATCCAAATCAGTGGAGATTTTTTAAAAGAATCCAAATCAGATGTTGAAAATAATTTGCAGCAGCTTGGTTATGTTTTGTTGTTTGGGTTCCATGTGTGTTAAGTGAAAAAAAAAACCCAAACACCACCTTCTTGGCTGTATTTCCACATGCGACTCTCTACTAGCCCTAATGAAAACGTTCCCTATTCTTTTTTTTAATTATTTTGGCCACACTTGGAGGCATGCAGAACTTCCCTGGCCAGGGATCAAAACTGCACCCCTTGCAGTGGAAGCGCAGTCTTACCCACTGGACCACCAGGGAAGTTCCAAAACACTGTTTTTAAAACAAAGTGTGATGAGCAATGAAAAGTGAATACTGTACAATAACAGGACACAAAAAGGATCATAGCACAGGCAAAATGAATCACCACCAACTACGCCAGAGGCTGGTCCTCACACAAAGAAGGTGAAGTTGTGTGGGATGGGGAGTCGTCTATTATGAGCTCCTTCCAGAAAACCAAATATTAATTTAAACAAGTACTGTTCCCAGTTAGATCAACTGGCAGCAGCTCTCAATGAGAAGTGTCCCAAATTAACAGAAATACACAATCTTCCATTGGGATAACGCAAGACTTTGATGACCAGGCAAAAACTGTTCCAGCTTGGCTGGGAAGTTCCAACGCAGCTGTTGTATTCACCGGACCATTGCACCTTTGGATTTCCATTCATTTTGGTCTTTACAAAATTCACTTAGTGAAAAAAATTTCAATCCTCTGGAAGACTGTACGAGGCACCTGGAACAGTTCTTTGCTCAAAAAGATGGAAAGTTTTGGGAAAATGGAATTATGAAGTTGCTTGAAAAATGGCAGAAGGTAGTGAAACAAAATGGTGGATACACTGTTCAACCAAGTTCTTGGTGAAAATGAAAAATGTGTCCTTTATTTTTACTCAAAAGCTGAAGGAATTTCTTGGCCAACCCAATAAAAAGCCAACACAGAGGAGAGGAGGCTGAAGTCAGAGAACCCCATGTGCAGGTATTTCTAATGAAATAGATGACACTCAATAATATTTTTGTTTTTATTTTACAAAACATGCAGTTTAAAACAGACTTTTAAAAAAATAGCAAGAAAACAAAACTTGGGACAGGAGAGTGGATGGAAGACAGATGCTTCTCAGCTGTCAGCAGGAGTGAAGCCAGCAGCCAAGCTTTGTCTAGGACCCAAAGGCCCTTTTGGCAATGATGATGTTGGCAACACTGGTTTGCTGGGACCACCAGACTCTAAATGCTGGCCCCTCTGGGCAATCCTCAAGCAGCCAGACGTAGGCTAGGTCTTGAGTTACTGTTGTATCCTATCAGTGTCTGGGACTTCAGTAGGAACTGAGCGTTTTGGTTCCAGGAGCTTCTTTACCTGTGTATTAATTACCCCCAGGATAATTACTAAGATCACGAATTACTTTCCATCTGGGTCAATTCTAGGCTGTTTCTGGCCCACTGTTTTGCAAAGGATAAAAAAGGAGTCTGGCTCCTAGACCTTTTGCAACAGTTATGCTGCATTCCAGTTCTGTTAATAGCACCATCTGTAGACCCTGAGCAAGTCCAATCTGGAAGTAGACAGGGTATAGCCAACTTGGAAACTCATCTCCCAGTTCTGGGGCCACAGAACGCTAAAGGGAGAGGAGCTGAGCTGTTCGCTGGGAGAGCACGAGGTCAGAGTGCCAGCACTGAAGAGAAGACAGCTGCATCTGTCAGAGACAAAACCAAGAGCACTGACTCCTAAGGTGAGTCAGGAGAAAAAGCACCTGGGACACCTCTTATGAAGGAAAAATGCAGGAGAAAAGAAGGCCCGGACCTCCCCCAAACTTTAGAATTGGGGAAGAGACTGTCAGGACTGATAGAGAGCTCCAACAATAAAACTGACCTCTGACTTCATTGAATATTGGAAGGAATAAGTGCTTTGTAAACCGGTAAGTGCTTTCTGTTACAAACAGAAGGCTGTGGGGTGGTACTGTTGTTCTTATTTGGAAAAGGAAAGAAATGGCAACCCACTCTAGTATTCTCGCCTGAGAATCCCATGGACAGAGGAGCCTGGCAGGCTACATACAGTCCATGGGGTTGAAGAGAGTCGGACATGACTGAGCGACTTCACTTTCACTTTCACAGTTATCATGGTGGCTATAATCTTCACAACCCACCCAGACCAGCTTCCCCGGTCCCACCCCAGGCCTTACTCTTGGGGCTTGTCTGGCCCTCAGGCTCGGGCACCTTCCAGTCCATCTTCCGACCTTTCTCGTAAAGGCCCTTGAGAACTTTGTGGAACGACTCAGGCTCACTGCCATTTTTGCTTAGTTCCAGGTACTTTCGGTAAAGCTGAAGGGCGGTGCGGGCATCCTCAATACTGTCATGGGTCTCCCCTTGAATCTTCAGGTCTAGGGGAAGCAGAGGTGGAATAGTTTGGGACCCAGCAAAGGAAGGTAAGACCATGTCCTCTACTCACATCCCCTCTCTCAATCAACAACAAAAGATCCCTGACTGCCCCTAAGGGAAAGGGCCAAACGCCATCCACAGTGCACAAGAGGGATACTGAAGCCAACTAAATCCACCTGCAACGCTCACCAGTAATTCAGGGTTATCCCCAGTCCCTTGGCCTCTCACACATTTTCATGCTCTTGCTGCACACGAGGATGTGCAAGGCAGGGGAACTCACCTAGAAAGTACCAAGCGAGGAATCGCAGGGAAATCATTCGTTTTCGGGGCATGTGAAATAGATAAACAGTGTCAAGGACTTGGTCCTTGGGCACCTGCCAGGGATAAAAGAGTGGGAGACTGAACGCAGGGGATCCATAATTTCCCATTTCCCCAAAACACAATGTATACCCTGGGGGGCCCACACAAATAAAGACTGTTAAAAGAGCCCTGCCCGAACCATGAGGTTGATGACCCGGAAGTCCTTTTGCAGACCGTGACCCACAAACTTCACTCCAATGTCTATGAGAAAACGAAGCTTTAAGTAGGTAGACTTTAGAGTTGTGAGGTGCTTAGAGGAAATCTTGGCATCAAGGTCTCCTGGCTTTATCCCTGAGTACTGAGTCAAGTAATCCACCACCTAGGGATGCAGAAAAGGTCAAGTCACACAAGAAGCGAAATGCACAAGTCCCCCTGCCGTTCGCCGCCAGGCTCGAGGGCCTTCTGTAAAAGCGCAGCCCGTCACGTTTGCACACCCGCCCCGGTACCTGCTCCTGGGTGGAGATGTAGTCATCAATGAAGGGGACGCCCTCGTGGGGCCCCTGGCCCCTGACGCAGGTGATCCTCGCCACCGACATCTGGCTCGGCTTGATGGTAGACTTGGTGCCGTCGCTGCGGAGCTCTGCTTCCTCCTGCGTCAGAGTCCACAGGGAAACTAGAGAAGTGCCCGCGACCCCTGACGCCCCCAGAGGTCTGGCCTAACACCCCGCCCTTCTGGCCTCGGTTACCTCGTTGAGGGTGACAAACTCCGCGTCCAGGCCCACCAAGTCCCCAACCTGTGGCATCTCATTCAGCATCAGGGGAATGAAAGTAGTATGTGTTTTTCGCTGCTTCCGTGCTAATGAGGCTTCAGCCAGCAGAACGCTTGCCTCAATAGGATTCTTAACTGGAGGGGAGAATCCAGAAGACATGGCTGGGGAGAGGGAAGGGACCAGGGGAGGGAAACCAGAGTGGCTGACTAAAGACTGGGTCTACACTGTGATCCCAATAATCGAAGCCTGTGACTGAAAAGATCATGTCTGATGAACAGAACAGGTCAAATCAGAAAATTATCAAGAAATATGCTAAGAAAAAAAACACACAAAGGAGTGAGATTTTCACTTTGGACTTTACCGTAGAAAATCCAGAATTAAAAAAAAAGAAAAAAGAAAGCCCAGAATAATATAGTTTATTACCACACACACAAAAAAGAAGAGATCCTTACTTGGAGAAAAGCTCAAAATTATAACCTTAGCCATTTTCACATATCCCCCCTCATCACCTCTTCTAACTACGCCCTCAGGATCCCCAGCTTCTAAATTTAAGGCCTGATGAGCAGAATTACTCTACTGTCCCTGGAAATATTAACACTGGTTGCCAATCCTAATAAGCTGTTTTCCAGATCTCTTCCTGAAGATGAATCTTATTGCTCACACCCTTGGATCTACGCTCTACTACTTACTGTTCAGGTTGTATTTGGAATTAAGATTCCTTTTGATGTAATAAAGGATAGCAGGCACTTTCCAATTCATGTCAAACTGCACAGCTTCATGCTATAAAAGAAAAAGCACCTAATGGCCGACATATACGCCTTTCTTCCCTTTTATCCCAAGTCAGAGAGAAGACAGGACTCAGGTGCTATATTTAGCTCTGCTGATGCTTTTTACTGTTGAGGACCCATCCCTCCCTCCTGAATCTGCCTGGCATCCTCCTGGGTACTGAGGATGAGGATGCCAGGAGAAGGGGAGATGCAGGGGGAAATGGAATGTGTTACAACTAACCTTATCGATAGGTTCAATGAGAAAGTCGTTGAAGAGATACCACTGCTGGTGGGTAACTCCCTGTGGAGATACAGAGGGTGCCCAAGTGATGGCTGGAGCATTCCTGCCCAGACTCAAGATAAGGACGGAACTGGGACTCCACTGTGGCTACCACTAGGAACACCCCTGCCCTGGGCTCCGCACTCACCTCCTTGCGCTGGTGGTAGGTCTCCCCAACTTTGATGTGAGCCACCAGGCTGCCCCCTGCGCGCGAGTCCAGGATGTGCACCACAGTTGCCATCAGGTCATACACATAGACACCATGCGCCTCCTCTGCCCTGGCTGGGCCCCACTGTGAGGGGGTACCCAGGCTGCTAAGCTAAGTTTAAGGGCGGGGAAGGAATGGGGGTGGGGATAGAGGACAGGGGGCCTGGGGGATGGGGACAGGGGACCAGGGTGGGTGCTTTCCATCCTAGCCCAACTGTGACTCCCAGTACTGAACTGAGTCACTCTCGAGAAGCCCGGAGCTGGTGAATACGAGGCCTTACTCGCTTTTTCCCCTGCACTGAGTTCCACCTGTCCCTTGTCCTGCTTCTGCCCCATCTCTCCCTTCTGTATTTCGGTCGTGCCGCAAGGCTTACGGGATTTTAGTTCCCTGACTAGGGAACTGGACCCAGGGCCCCGGCAGTGAGTGCCGAGTCCTAACCACTGGACCACCAGGGAATTTCCCAACCTTCTTTCCCTTATTCCCCCTCCTCTTCCCAGTTTTTCAACAACCTGCATCTCATCCCCATCAGTCCAATTGCAAACATCCAGCCCTTTGTTCTTGGTCATCTTCATTTGAATGGAGAAAGGAAGCCAGACATTCTTCAACTCCTCAATGGAGGGACACATCAGCATGCCCTCTGGACTGCCTAGTTCCTTCCTATCAGGACAGGAGAATCAGAAATTTGTTCTGAGGAGATCTGACCAGTGACAAGAGGGGACACTGGGTAGCTCAATCCTTTGACCACTCTACAGACAATACCTACCAATCAGCCAAAGCAAACTCCTTATTCTTGGAGATTTCTCCACTATGCTTCTTTATTGCCATCTTGAAGGCAACCTGCATACAAGGAGAAAACATCCAGTTCCTCGGAGAACATGAATCATATATGGAGGTTAAAACTAAAAAGTGCTCCTAGAGCCCTATTTCCAACCTAAGTCCTGACCTCAGCCTGCATCCTCCAGAAGTCAGCTTCTTTCAAACTGTTCACCTCACAGTTGATGACAAGAATATCTGGCAGGTGGCGGATGTTGCGTGTCTGGATCTGAGAGGATGAAACAACAGGAATGGCAGGCGGCCCACAGGGGAAGAAACCTGGATGGGAACTTTTAAGCCTGGGGCTGCTTCCTCCAGCTGGAGTTCTTCCCACCCGTCTAGAGATCTCTGGACGGTGGTGCTGACCTCGTCCGTCCCGGGTGAGACCACAGCCCAGCCTCCCACGTGGCAGGACTCTGGCCCAGGGCAAGCACCCACTCACCGTGGGCTGGTACTTTTCACAGTTGTCACACCAGGCCTGCGTATTCTGCTCCAGGCAGATGCTTCGCTTCAGCACCTGAGCAAAGTCACAGTTCTTCCCGGTTTTATCTGAGGGCAAACTGGATGCTTCACTCCAGGTCCTCCCTGCCCCACCGTGAGCCCCCCCCACCCTGCCCCGTGATGTCTCAGGACGCCGGGCGGCGCACCCCCACCCCGCTGCAGGGGGTACCGCTGCTGCTACCCTCAGGGTAAGAGAGCGTGAAGAGCAGGGTGGATGAGGCGCGCACGGTCTCACTGCCGCAGCGGCACAGGCTGCAGTTTTCCATCTCACAGCTGAACAGCTGCCCAATGACAGAGTCCCCCGATGAGCAAACGCTGCTGAGAGTGGACAGGGCGAGACATGCACGCTGAGGGGGTCAGGACACCCCTCAGGTCGCCGGGGGCCTGTCGTGGTGGCTCTAACTGCTCCATACCTGCCTCCCGCGCCGCGGTAAGCCTGGGGTACTTCCAGCTCCTGCAAATCTTGATGAAGTTGCGTGAGGATGAAGCGGTTCCACCTCTGAATGAGCCTGGCCAGGCTGCCCTTGCCTGAAGCCTCATCTGAGTCAGCCAAAATCAAACCGAGGGCTGAGGCCTCAGGAATGGTGCGGAATGCTCGAAGAAAATTACTGCCCTGGAATCCAGGAAGTGTGTCGGTTTTGAAAAAGGGTTATTTCCCTTTCTGTGATTACTGGCAAGAGTGAGGAGCCTGCCTGCTATCCCCCTCCTCTCCCCTTTTATTGCCCCAGGCCTCCAGGCACTGACCTGACAGGGGTCGCCTCGGGAGAGGTCCAACATGTGGAAGAGGAAGCCCAGCTCGCAGGCCAGGCAGAACTCCTTCTGGCAAAGGTGGTTCTGGATTAGACAGCGCACAGGCTCCAGGAAATAGAGCACCTGGAGGGAAGAGCAGGAGATCTGATGCAGACAACTGGTACACGGAGAAGGAGCGATGGGGAGGCAGAGAAACAGTGGCGAACATAAAGCACAAGCCCGCTGAAGAAGCGGCGCTCGCCGGGGAGACGTGAAGGCTGTGGGGCAAGAGAGAACGGCAGAGGAGACTCAAGTGGACTTGGCCATGTGGTGAGGGAGACCTGGAAAAAGAGGGGTCGAGGGGCCCAGAGAGGAGAAGAAAAGCAGCAGCCATCTTCCAGTCATGGGAATACCCAGCCTTACCTGGATCATGCAGTTACAGTAGGCATTGGGGATGTGGGGCTCCAATCCAGCAAACAGAGTCTTATTGTAGTGCTTGAAGTCGAAGTCCTCCAGCCCGAGCTTGGAGTATTTGATGGTCACCTGAGGCAGAAATAGTCTGAGCAAGATGATGTCCTCAGAGCTTCCTAAATCTTTGCAGTGACCATAACCTTCCCCCAGGCCCTTCCCAAGTCCAGAATGATAGGTAGAGGCTTCTTGAAGAAGCCCTCCAATCCTTTCTGCAATGACCCCCTTTCCCAGGAACCTGTCCCCACATCCCAGAGGGCCCCCTCCTCGGTATCCCCCGGCACCTTGCGGTACTTCTTAGAGACCATGTGGAGATGTGGCTCCTCTTCCCGCCCTACTGGTGACTCAGTAACCTGGCTGAAGCTGTCAAATTCACTGTCAGACTCCTTGAGTCGGTAAGGAATCTAGGGTTTTTAAAAAGAGATAGCCCTTGCTGAATGGATAATGATCTTTGGTCCCACCTACCTTTTATTCCAACACTGAAGCAATCACCAAGTCCCGAACCCGATAATTTCGTGGTTTTCAGCCTCCACTGCTGCCTCTGCATTCCCACTGCCATCACCCCACCTCATCACAGCTGGGCAATGCCGAGGCTGCCACAGCGGGTCCCGCACCCCCACCCACTCCATCCAGGCACCGCCCGAGCTAAGCCCCCAGTACGGCCTTTCTGGTGCGTCACTTCCGCTGTACCCTGGTACGCACAAGGTTTCCCAACCAGGCCCCTTCCAAACTTCATTTCACATTGATTCTCAATATTAACAGCCGGTCCAACATGGTCCCTGTCAGTTAGGCCTCCTGAGACCTCTACTAACACTGTTCTCTCATCCTGAAAGGCTCCCGTTACGATCTACTTACCCATCTTTCATCCCTCCAGCTCAACACCCACCGCGTGGAGTATGCCCTTCCTGACCAGTCTAGCCCAGAGTACCCTTTTCTCTCTGAACAGCTCTGGCACTGACTGCTCCTGACATTCCTTTAGCATTTAACGATAGAACATTAATAATTTCTGCCAGTGGATAGGTCTTATCTCCAACAACCAAATACTAAACTTCTAAAGAGCAAGGACCCTATCTCCTATGTATTCAAACCCTAACACCTAGTATAATACCTTCAATTCAGTAGGCTTCAAAAACCTTTGCTGACTAACTAAAAACAAAAACTAGGGAGAATTACTGAAGACAAAGGAGAAACACCAATGGGCTGGGGCTGGGGGCACCCTCTCCCCTCTGAACAAACCTGATTTCGCAGCCTGGTGCGGGGATTGGGTGCATAGCCGATGAAGCCCACCTTCTTCATGGTGCGCAGAATCTCTGCATCCACAGGGGGTGCTCGCCTACAATGTAGTATAGCTCTAGGGCTTGAAGGCTGCGGTGTCTGCCCATCCAATCCCCAATCCCCAAGGGACCAGAAAAAAAAAGAAAATACTAAGAGTAGACAAAAATCAGGAAAGAAGCAGAATACTAACAGGGCTTGCCAAGAACTCTGGTCTCTTGGCCCTCCCCCTCTCCCCCACCCCTTGGCCGGGATGTGAGGTTCCACCTGGGAGCCGGAGCAGAGTTGGCAGCAGGCCAGTCGGAGAGCAGCGTGTCGGTGGTGAGCGGGACGGGGATGAGGGAGAGGGGCAGCAGGTCCTGGCTCCAGTCCAGAGGCGGCAGTGAGTCCACGACGCAGGGCAGAGCAAACTCAGTCTCACGGGAGTAGGGGTTGAAGGAAGGCTCAGGGGAGTCAGTCCAGAGGTGCACACAGCCCTCAGAATCCCCGAAAGCGAGGGCCTGCTTGCTGGCTGACACATCAAACGTCATGAGCAGAGGCCCCACAGGATTCACGTGGAAGATGTCTGCGGGGTTGGCCAGGCCTGTGGGCTCACAAAACTGGCACTGTCCTAGGAGGGAGGAGAAGGCCGCTGAGCCCTGGGAGGTGACAGGCAGCCATCCTGTTACGCCCTTCCTAGCCTCTTCCCCTGGTGTCAAGGAAAGACGGGCCCCAAATCCATGCCTAGAGGTAAGAGGAAATACCATCTGGGGCCCCCCATAAATCACAAGGGGTTTTGCTACCCGCCGGAGGCCAGTTCCCGAGTTGTCCGCGTGTGCTACTTGTATTCTTTGCATATGTGTTCTTCACATCCAGGGAGAAAATAAAAGCTCTAATCTCTTACCAAACCTAAGTGAGATCCTGAGACCCCTTAGAATCGTTACTTCTTCCCCAGCAAAGAAATTTCAGGGAGTACACTCCTTCTCGCTCCTAGACCCCCTCTTTCACTCATCAACTCTTATCCCATCCTATATCCCCTTCATACCTGACTGGGAGATGATAGCGAGACGAGAAGTATATGTAGGGATGAAGCGTAAGAAGGCAGGATCCACGTGAACTTGAAGTGGTGTGATGGCACGCATCATGCGCAGATCATAAACTTTGAGGAAACGGTCACAGGCCAGACCGGTAAGGCGGCTGGAGAAGCCACAGGTGGCCAGCAGGTTGCCATGCACATCGAAATCCGACAGGCTCCCTGAGAAGGCATCGAACTCATGCTCCACCTTAAAAGTACGGAGATCTCGCAGAGAAACCTGAAGAAAGGACATCTCCGTTATCTGCCAACACTGTTATCAGGAATAGGACCCACCATCTACCTCACCCTGTGAGGTCCCTGCCGAAACAACTAGGGCTCTACAATGTGTGTGTGCTAAGTTGCTGCAGTCATGCCTGCCTCTTTGTGACCCTATGGACTGCAGCCTGCTAGGCTCCTCTGTCCATGGGATTCTCCAGGAAAGAAGACTAGAGTGGGCTGCCATGCCCTCCTCCAGGGGATCTTCCTGACCCAGGGATCGAACCCACGTCTCATGTCTCCTGCACTGACAGGCAGGTTCTATACCACCAGCGCCACAATACAGGCAATTAAAGCACAAAAAAAGCAAAAATAGAAGCCAAGAGCTGGAAGGGACCCCAAAGAAAACTCCTTTACCCCTTTGCCTCTAAGATACCCCATTTACCCCAGAAAATATCAGGCTCAAAGATAATCTCATAGTATAACATGGCTGAGTAGGAACTCAATTCACTCCTCCCAGCTCCCCAACTACAGCCCCAGAACTGAGTAAAAGACAGAGCCCCGAGGTGGGAGGAAGATGGAACTTGGTCACTCACCTTGCCAGACGTGTGGCCGCAGAAGAAGAAGCGGCTCGTCTGTCTCATGATGGTGACTCCAGGTGTCTCAACTGCGTACTGTGAGGGAAGCGGGAGAAACCCGTGAGGATGCTTCTTCCCACAGACCAAAGGAACAGAAAGGTCACACGCACATCACAGGCATTTCCAGCTCATGCTGCCCCAGCGACCTCAGGCCCTGCCTGCGTCCCGCCTGCACCTTCTGGGTCTCCTGGACAGTGTTGAGGTCAATCTCCAGCACGTGGTTCTGCAGCCCGCCAACGAGCAGCGTGCTGCTCTCGGTCAGCAGCAGGCTGTGCATGTCTTCACTCTCATCCAGCCTGTGGGGGAGGCAAGGCTCAGGGCCAGGGTGTCCCACATTTCCGATCCTTCACCCTTCCCACTCTGTGAGGGATCCCCTTCCCCAGTCCAGAGGTAAGAAGCCACCTACAGGTAATCAAATATAATGAGGCCCCCTCGGGCCATATACTTGAGGTTGTTCTTGGTAAGAAAAAGGATGCCATTCTCCAGGCTCTGGATCTGGCGGATGTCATCACTGCCATTGACCTGAAATGATGAGTACCGCTCCAAAGTTGGGCCGAAAAATGATGTGGCATGGCCCTGTAGTGGACAAAAAGATGAGAGATACCCTAAGTGGAGGGGCAAGGCCATCCCAGATGCAAATCAGAGAACCAGACATTGCTCAGTTTTTCCTCCATTCTTGCCTGGCCTTTCTGGCTAGTAGTGACTAAGGCATAAGGGTGGGCACCAATCTTCTATGATATGATATGATATAGTATCTTATATTTATGATAAAAACACTGAGAATACTATCTTACATTCATATAATGCTTTACAAAGTACTTTTATAAACTCCACCTCATTTGATCCTCACAATGACCCTGCTGAATAGGTAATGGCTCAGTTGATTAGAACAGTGCTCAAAAGGTTAGGGACATAGGTCCAATCCTCCACTGGCCAGGTGGCAGTCTTGTGTCCCACAGTCAAGTCCTCATCTCTACAAGCCATCTGGGAAATGTGTACTGTGGGTCACAGGCTGGAACAGAGAGACTGAAACTCATGCCACCCTTGGCTCCTATGACATCATCCACTCCTGGTTTCTCTCCTGACTCTTAGCTCATATCTTCTCCTTATGTGCAACCCTTATGACCACTATTGAAACATTATTCCAAGCCCACCATCTTCTCACTCTACTTTTCTTCCTAGATAATTTTACCCACTCTTAAGGCTTAAACATTCAGCTTAAACCAGATGAATCCTAATTTTTTCCCCTAGCCCAGACTGTTGCCTCAAGCCTCAGACTTGTACATCCAAATACCTACCACATGCCTCTCTTTAGCTACTCCATGAGAACGCAAACTCATTACACCCTAAATCAAACTCACCATTTCCCCCCATTTCAATTCTTCTTAACTGTATTCCCTATGGTACCATGATTTACCCAGTGGAATAAGTCACTGGTAGTCGACTTAACTTTCACTTAAGTTCCTAAATACTTCCCAAATCTGTTCTGAGGTATGAATCTCTACAGCGCTTCACTCAGGCCTCCATCGCCATTTTAGGTGAACTACTGCAAAATCCCGTGCACTGACCTCACGGAGTCCTGTCCCGTCCCCTTAAATCAAACTCCATACTACCACCTCAGCACTCCACCTGAGATACAAACTGGACCTCGTCATTCTGGATAAAAACCTTTAGTGGACTAAAGAATCAAGTCCAAGCTCTTTTAAAAGAGCTTATAAGGCTTTCTAGAATGTCCTCCCCACAGATAACTGCATGGTTTCTTCCCTTCCTTCCAAGGAGATTAGAATGGACATCCTGGCCTGCATCCAGGTCTCCACTCAAGTGTGACTTTAGCGGAAAGCCCTTCCCTTGACTATATATCTAAAACAGCAATACCTCACCCCCTTTAATACCTCAACCCCCTAACTCCACGGTACTTTTCTTAGGGATTCTATTTTTCTTAAGGATATGTCATAAATATGTTTCTGTTGTCTTTTAAAATGCTTATTCAAAATCTAGACTCCAGAACAAGGTAGGGCACCTAAAAGGTGCTCAAAAACACTGGCTGAAGAAAAGTCTAACTCTTCAGCTTCATCTCCCATCCCAGTAAACCCTACTTGCTTACAGTTCCTGCACTGTGCAATCACCAAGCTGTGTACTATCTTGGGAATCATTGTTTATTCCACTGCTTTTGCCAAAATGGAATTTCCCCCTCTTCACCTGGCTCCTGCGCACCTCTCAAGACGAGCTCAGGTGTCACTTCCTTCTGGAGATCCTCTGATTCTCTTCTATGCTCACCAACATCCAGTATGTATTTTCACACTGGCATTTATTAAGTTCATATCCCAAATTCATAATTATTAAGTTAAACACTTTAGTTTCTTTTAAAACGCAATAAAATTATGTTCATATACTTGGGTTTTTTTCCCTCATTGTCCTGTGACCTCCTTGAGGGCAAAGAGCATGTTTTACTAAGCTTTATTCCCTGAGCCTAGTCTAGTAGTAGACACTGCCTACTGAAATGAATGTATAACCAAAAAATTCACTCTTTCCAACAGAAAAACAATTCACACCCTATGGAAGGTAAATTAATAAACCATGGACACCATGTTATTTCTTACAAAATCTTTGGGCTCCCAAGCATATTGGCAATATGGATACATTTTTAAAAATTAACAATGATAACTGCTCCCAGAGAAATTAAAGTCCGCCAAAGACAAAATGACTGCATGTAATATGTGCAGAAACAGGAGTTAAACATTCTGTAATGAGAGAATCCCCTGCCTGTCCGGTGGTTAGGACTCCATGCTTTCAGTGCCCCAGGCCCGGGTCTGACCTCTGGTCAGGGGTACTAAGATCCCACAAAGCGCTGGCATGGTCAAAAAGAAAACATCCTATAATTATAAAAATGGAAAACAGGAAGAGCATTAGAGACTGTATTCAGATGGCTATAGACTAACTGAATGGCTACAGTTATCAAGATTAATCAGGGCATGGAATGGGCAAATGGTGGAAGAAGTGGGATACCTTCTGAATAAGAACACCTATATAATCCATCTCTGCATTCTATGACTCCCTCCTTCTCCCTCCCCTCCCCTCCCCTCGGCTTGATTTAGAGACCCAGCTAACTCCATCACCTCAACTCAGTTCTGGCTCCCTGCAAAGCAGCTGTTCTTGGACTAAAACCAGGTAAGAGGCCCCCGATCTCTCCTTTCGGCCCTCACGAAGGGGTACAGTTCTTACCCCATGGCTTCCCACCCACAGCAACTCCTCGTGCAGGTCAAAGTGGGAGCCGGAGACAGGCGCACCCACGTCAGCCACCACACTGTGCAGCTCAGAGTAGACGCCTTCCATTATGCGCACTGACTCCTGGGCTGGGAGCGCCTCGAGGGCCACTCCCTCCGGGTCCAGCTCCACGTTCTGTAGCAGGCTCGGGTTCAGGTGGGCATCCAGGACAGGGTCCAGGGCAGAATGCATGGCCGGCGCATACTCTGCCAGTCCAGGGTCCAGACCCTCGAAGTTCATGATGATGGCGATGACGACGACAGCAGCAGACTGACCCGTGTCACACACCCTCCCTTGCCACAGCCCCTTTGGATGCCCGACCCAACCTTCAGCAGGACATCAGTGGGCCTAGAATGGACATCCTGACCTGCAAAGGGCAAGAGCGAGCTGAGTCACGGGTAGGCCCAGGTGCTCGTATTGAGTGTGTGCTAGGTTTTTACTGGCAGGACGGAGGGGAGGCAGGCAGAAGATTTAAGAATACAAGGCAGGGGGTGAAACAGGCAGGAAGGGAATGGACACCGGGGCAGACGTGGGAAGAGGTGTGGTCCCTGGCTCTTCTCTTCTAAGGCACTCTGAACTCCCAGAGTCCCACCAGTTAACTGAATCCCTGACTCGCTCTCCACCCTCCTCAGGGCTGCTCACTGGCCTGGCTCATCCCTGAACCATCAACGTCAGGAGCAGCAACTGCGGGGGCAGGGGTTAGGCAGAGCGGGGCAAAGTGCTTGCTTCCTAGCATTAGGGACAGGGGTAGACGGTTGAAAGGGGAGAACAAGATAAGTCAGTTTCCCAGAATCCTCTGCAATGCTACCCAGGATTCGCTAGGGGAAAGTAAGAATGGCCAGTTACCCACAGTTGGGGCGGGGGGTAAGGGGGACGTGAAGGAAATAACTAGTTACCCAGAATTCTCTGGGGGAACCAGAAAAATCAATTACCCATAATTCTCCCCCGGCGGCGGGGAGGGGAGGGATTAGGGCAGGGGTCAGATGTGTTCCTGGGATGCTTACGGGGATTAGGTCATTACCAAGATTTCTCCATGGCGGATATTTTGGAGCGCGTGGAATTAAAACGAGTAGGGGGAGAGCAAGCGCCGTCAGCTCCGCGGGAAATTCCAGTTTCCCCACTTCTCGCCCGCGCCTCAGGTTCAACCAAACTCTAGGACGGAAAGGGCGGTGCACTCCCAGTCGCAGCTTCCAATTAGGAAGGGCGAGAGGCTTACCTCAGCCAATCGGGAGCAGCCAGGTACAGCCGGACCCGCGAGAAGACGCGTGACGCGCGCGCTGAGGAAAACAAGACCTACGGGGCGCGGATAGGGACAAACGTGTCGGAACCTTGTCCCTGTTTGGTGGTGTTAGAGTAACCTTTGCCTTCTTTAAGCCTTCTTTAAAAGAAATTAGAAAGCCCCAGGCCTGGAGCCCGAACTTTCAAGCTCCGTATAGCTCCAGACTAAAGTAAGGGGAGCCCCAAGCAAAGCGGTGGGAATGATTGCTGGATATTCCCGGTATGGCCCAGGCCACCCTCTCTCCCCGTGGTACTCTTGTGAGCACTTCGCCACCTCCGACCCTGTTACTCCTGAAACCTGCCGGCATTTCCTATCATTTTCAGGCATGGGAGAGAAAAAAGGAAGCGGGAGGCAGTCTCCTAACACGGCCCAAGTAGCTGCATCTTCTACGATTCTGAAGGCAACCGTCTGAAACTCCCATCTGTGATTATTCCCTCCCCAGAATCGCCGGTAATATTTCCAGGGAGCAGGACCCCTCAGCTATAAAATCCCCTAGCTCGTGGAGCTGGACATTATTCCTCAGGGGGCAAGACATGGCAAATGGAGACGTTTCCCTTCCCCAGAATTAACAGATTTAGCGTCGACACCTACTCAAGGATTCTTGGGGTATAACTCTGAGCTTGAACTGCTTTGGAATAGATCCAGAATGGTAGATGTCTGTAGGGTATTTTAGTTTCTAAAGGCCACATAGAGGGCCACGTTGATGGGATTCCTCACAGAGAAAACAGTTTTAAAGCATCTCAGTGTGGTGGTGGTGGTTTAGTCGCTAAGTCCTGTCCGACTTTCGCGACCTCATTGACTATAGCCCTCCGGGTTTCTCTGTCCATGGGATTCTCCAGGCAAGAATACTGGAGTGGGTTGCCATTTCCTTCTCCAGGGGATATTCCCAGGCCAGGAATCGAACCCAGTCTCCTGTATTGCAGGAAGATTCTTTACTGACTGAGCTACAAGGGAAGTCACCATCTAGGGATCTCTGAAGTCAGATCAGTTTGAGAGACCTCTGAGTTAAACGTGTTTTTCTCTTGGTCTATGACCTCTAAGTCTAAAACCCCTCTGATTCAGGATTCTCTGAGTCAGGATTCTAGACTTAGAGGTCATAGACCGAGAGAAAAACACATTTAACTCAGAGGATTTCTCAAACTGATCTGACTTCAGAGGTCCCTAGATTTAAAATCTTGTTAAAAATATGGGTGCTGAGTAATAGGGACAGTTCCTACACTTTGAGAAATTTCCATATTTAGGTCTCAAATTAAGAAAGACTTAACAGGGATTTCCCTGGTGATCCAGTGGCCAAGACTCTGCACTCCCAATTCAGGGGCCTGGGTTTGTTCCCTGGTCAGGGAATCCCAAGATCCCTCATGCCACAACCTAAGAGTTCTCATGCCTCAATGACCAAAGATCCTTGCCATAACTAAGACCCAGTGTAGCCAATTTTTTTTTAAAGACCAACAGTGAGAATTACAAGGCCTGAGATACCAGCAACATCAGGCTAAAAGAGCTACTTTATTAAGATGCATAGTGTCCCCTCACAGCATCCAATGTAATAGAATGAGAATGCAGAATCTGAAGTCTATGCGGTAATTCTGGCCACTTAATAGTGATTTTAGGTAACTTACTTATCTTTGCACCTCAGTTTCCTCATTTGTACCCATCTCATTGGGCTGTTGTGAAAATTAAATGGGTTAATACATGAAAAGTGCTTAAACCAAGTATTTGGTATAAAGTGAGAGTTGGATGGAAGCCATCATTACTAACCACCTGGGGAAACTTCAGCTGGATTTGGTGTCCAGGCATCCAACTGGAAAGGCCTGCTTGGGAGTGTCTTGTCAATATAATTTGCATAACGGTTGAGGTCTTGCTGACGTCAAGGTCTCCTTGCACCTCCAGGTCAGATACAGTCCTGGAAGTAGTTCCTGTCACACAACAGTCCCACAGTCACCCCACCAACCTTGCTTCCTACCCAACTCCCAAAGCACCAGGAAGTGAAACAAAGCCCCGTGCTTCCAACTCATCCTTGTCCCTCTCATCCCATCCCCCAGGGTTCCCCTTCCTCCTCCTCCTCCTCCTTTTCACCTTCCGTCTCCTATCCTAGACGGCTCCCAGGATGGCAACCAGAGGTGGGGAAGCATGGGAGACATTATAAAAAGCAAGGGGAGCTCCCCCACCCCACCCCAGTTTCCCTATTTCACGTGTATCACCTTTCTCAGAAGGCAAACCGTTTCTCACTCAAACTGAGGTAACATCTCTGAGGCTGGAAATGTTTTATCCCAAGGGTGGATTTACCACAGGGTCACATTTGAATCAGAAATTTCTTTGGGCAGTTTTGAATAGTCCTAAGGGAATGGAGACCTCTGTCGAGAGTAAGTTTCTCAGAGAAAAAGGATCAACCTCTTGGAAAGGCTTTGGGAGCCATCTCTGTGGTCATCCATGGCCTCATTCTGACGTCCAGATTGTCCTGGGACCCTCCACTGGGGTGGGGACAGTCCCAGATTTGGGCCACCTTCCACTCCCACGCCCAAGCTCACAGTCTCAGCTGTTTCACTGAATGTTGCATCAGGGATGGTGATGAAATCAGTATCAGCGGATTTTACCCATGGATGCAACAGGCTGAAGGACCAGCCAGGGTCACTGACACAGTGCACCTTCAACTACCCAGAACCCTGGACTCCTAGCCACGGTGAAGGGCTTGGTGATCCTAGCCACGGTGAAGGGCTTGGTGATCCTAGCCACGGTGAAGGGCTTGGTGATCCTAGCCACGGTGAAGGGCTTGGTGATTCTAGCCACGGTGAAGGGCTTGGTGATAGGATGTCTCCAGTTGGATTTCTAGACCTCACTTCCACACTGATGTCCCCTACCCCCAAATCACCTGAACCCCACAGAGCCCAAGAAACGGGCCACTAAGGTTGAGGAATCAGATGGTTCTTAGCAACAGCTCTCTCCTCCCAACAGCACCCCCAGCCTCCAGAGTGAGGCCTGAAGTGAGGGAGCAGTAATACCTTATACTGAGCAGATGTGGCTTCCCAGTTCACAAAATGCCTTCATGTCCATTCTCTCCTAGTGAAAATAACACTTCTCAACAGAGAAAAAGAAGCCCTCTTATTCTTGGATTGAGGGCATCAGGTGGGAACCCAGCTTCATTCCAAACTGAGCTTGCCATCCTATTGGAGATAAATGAATGCCTCTGTTTTGGTTTTTCCTCAGGCAGGAGGTGAGGAAATTAGGTTTGAAGGGAGGGCTAATATAGCTTAGAGACACAAAAAGATGAGGAGAAGGTTAAACAGGAAGGAAGTTAAGACTAGATTCATTTAAATATTTGCTGTTCCCACCCCTCCCCCTGTCTTCAGCCACTTTGATTCCTGGAGAGCATTACACAGAAGTCTCATCCCAGACCTCCAGCCACCGCCACCACACGACTCATTTCCCCTGGGACTGAGGCTATTTACCTGGGCTCCCCACGGAGGGGGATGATGCAGGAGGGGAATCCCACCTGCTGTGAGTCACCTGCTAGTTTAAAGGGCGGGTCTCACAATGCGGGGACCTTAAAAAGAGACTCAGAGACAAGGGGAGAAAATCCACAGGAAGCAGCTCAGAAGCACGGTGAGCACAGAACAGACAGAATCGGATTCAGAGCAAGGGGAAGTGGACAGAGGTCCCACAGGACTGCAAGGCACGGGGCCAGCCGGACTGGAGAGGCAGGCAGCGAGATGCTGGGGGACGGAGCCGTGCTGCCGCTGCTGCTGCTGCTGCCCTGGACAGCTCCGGGCCCGGCTGTGTCAGAGGCCGCTGGCCCTGCTTGGGCTCGGGGCCAACAGCTCTCACAGCAACTCTGCATGCTAGCCTGGAGTGCACACCTGCCAATGGGACATATGGTGAGTGGCAGCCCCTCAGCCTATCTGAGCCCTCCAAGGCTATAGTGGAAGATGCTGTGGCCTGGGGTGGAAGCTGGAGGGTTGAAAGCCATCAGTGGTAAGAGAGAACAGTGGTTGAGAGAACCCCTGGAGAAGGGATCCAGGGAGAGGAAGGACCCAAAGGCCCAGGTAGGATTTGAGAGTACTTATTTCTCTACTCTTCCCGCCCCTCCCCCATTTCAGGATCTACCAAGAGAAGAAGGAGGTGATGAGACTACAGATGATGTCCCCCGTATCCAGTGTGAGGACAGCTGTGATCCACAAGGACTCAGGGACAACAGTCAGGTACAAAGACAAGGCTGGGCCCCCAGGAAAAGGGGACTGGAGACAGAGCTGGACACCATGGTGAATGAGTAAAGTTGTATCTGTCCTTGTCCATTCAGCCTGCTGTAGCAATAAACTAGACTCAGTAGTTTATAAACAACAGACATTTATTTCTCACAGCTCCGGAGGCTGGAAGTCTTGAGGTCAAGGTGCCAGTGTGGTTAAGTGAGGGCCCTCTTCCAGATCAGACTTTTTGTCTCCTCTCATTGTGGGAAGGAGTAGGGAGTTCTGTGGGTCTCTTTTATAAGAGCAATAATTCCACTCATGAGGGCTGCATCCTCATGACCTAGTAACTTCCCAAAAGTACCACTTCCTACCACCACCACACTGGGGGTCAGGATTTCAGCATATGAATTTCACAGGGACGCAAACATTCAGATCACAGCCATGTCTTAAGAATGGTAAATATCAGGTGAGTCTTTGGTGGAGTAATTAGAAGGGATCTATTTTGTTTCTTTCATCTTGATTTTGGCTGAGCTGTGCTGTGCCCAGCCAGGGATCAAACCCATGGCCCCAGCAGCAGAAGCATGGCATCTTAACCACTGGACAGCCTGGGAAGTCCCCGTATCCGTTTCCTTTCACGGCTTTCTTTCCCCCCCAGTCCTGCTTGCAAAGGATTCATCGAGGCCTGGTTTTTTACGAGAAGCTGCTGGGCTCAGATATTTTCACAGGGGAGCCTTCTCCACCCCCAGAGGGCCCTGTGGACCAGCTTCACGCCTCCGTACTGGGCCTCAGGGAGCTCTTGCAGGTATGAACTAGGGGCCTGGAGGAGAGGGGCTTGCAGGTGTCAGAGACGGGCCCTGGGGTAGGGGTGGGGTGACGACTCAGAGAGTCCTCTCTGATGGTGTCCTGTGTCCTTTCAGCCCGAGGGTCACCACTGGGAAACTGAGCAGACCCCAAGCCCTACTCCCAGCCAGCCATGGCAGCGCCTCCTGCTCCGTCTCAAGATCCTTCGAAGCCTCCAGGCCTTTGTGGCTGTAGCTGCCCGGGTCTTTGCCCATGGAGCAGCAACTCTGAGCCCCTAAAGCCAGCACTCAAGGATGACTCCCAGGCCTCCACGGCTCAGGAATGCGGAGATCAGTCTGTCCACCTGGACACCTGTGAGCCAGCAAGTTCCTCAGTCCAATAATTTTAATGAGACTTACTCTGTTGAAAAATTACCAAAACTGACTGACTTATGATGTTGACCTAGAAGAGGCTGAATATTTATTACATGGGAAGGGAAATTTTGGGATTATTTATAGTGGCAGGAGCTTGGGGATGAGGATTATTTATTATATTTATACTGAATTATGTACTTTTTTCAATAAAGACTTATTTATGTGGATCTCTAAGTCTAGGCTTGTCAGTAAAAAGAAACAGAATGGAAAAATAGGGCCAAAGCACTATAAAATGCATCTTTCTGCTCTGCAGGGCTACCGTGGAAAGGGGTCTTACCTCATGACCCCTTGGTATATAGAGTAAACGGGATCTTTTTGGCCATAATCCCTGCTAAGGCTGAGCAAGCTGAATGAGGTTACAAGGGACTGCAACTGCGAAGTATGGCTCCTAAGCTTGGCCCTCTCTTGCTCCTTGGCCCAGGGCTTCCTTCTCTGCTTTCTTGGCCGAGAGTGTATTTGGCCAATGACAGGAGTCCCAGGGCACTGCGGGATCAGAAGTCAGAGCTGCTTTAAGCAGAAATGGCATTCCAGAAAGATGAGTCAGTCTTGCCAGTCACTAAAATGCTGAAAGCCTTCTACACTGGAAAGAAGCCCCTGCCCTGAGCCTCACAGGTGCCTCCTGACTGCCCCGGCCTGCCCTTGAGTGCCCGCACCTCCCAGCACAGAGGCGGCCTCCAGGCTCCTAGGCAGACCACGGGTAACATCTCTTCTGAGGCATGGCTGCCTCTGCCTCACCCACATTATGCTTCTCCCTCCATTCCCCCAGGGTTAACCCAGTTCCTCATGTCCCATCCTTGGAGAGCAATGTCCTGATGTGAGGAGTAGGAGGGGCAAACGCACAGAAAGATCTGAGGAAATGTAGCTCCTAGTAGTCAGAAGGGCTCAAGGGCCCACCTGCATAGAAGTGGCTGGGGTTGAAGACGTCAGCTTCATCCGTGGTGTTCTGGCAAGGCAGCAGTGGGTCACCGTTGGGCATGATTTCTTCAATCCTCATGCTGTTCCTAAAGACTAGATCGTCCAGAGAAAGAAGTCAGGCCCTGATCTCAGACTAGGAGTTCCCGAACCAGCAGGGAAAGTGAGGGAAGATGGCAGCAGCGGCCCAGATAGGGCCTGACGGGGGCCTTAGGTGGGGTGGAGGAGGCATGTGTATGTCCTAATGAAATGAATCGCAGGGACATCGGCCTTTCTCCAATGAGGAGCTTAGAACACAGGCTTTTTCTGTGGCGAGTGAGGGAGGGGATCTGGGAAAGGAAAGGTGTCCTCTCTTCCCTGCTTGCACACCGTCACTTACTTTCCATGTCCTCGGTGTTCAAGTGTCTCAGGTCATAAGGCAAATCCGGTTCTGGCATGGTCTGTAGATCGAGCTCTGGAATAGGCTCCAGCTGCAGTTCTGGTCCCAGGTGTGGTTCTAGGACTCCCTGTGACATCTGGCCAAGTATGGGCTCCAGTGTGGGCTCCAGCACGGGCTCCATGCTCAGATCCAATCCTGCCTCCAGCAGTGGCTCTAAGTCCAGGCCCGGCCTGTGCTCAGGCTCTGATGCAAGCCCCAGATCCAGCTCTAAAGACTCCAGCTCTGGCTCCAACTTGAGCTCCGGCAGTTGCTGCAGTTCATCCACTTGTCTGGATACCCAACACAGACGAAAGAACAGGGCTCAGTTGTTAGGTGAAGTGGGGAATGGCAGAGAAAGCAGAGGCTATCTTTCTAGTCTAAAAAGGCATCAGAGCAGAGGGCTTAAGACCACAGGCTCTGGGATTAGGCTTCCAGAGTTTAAATCTTATCATTTACTAGTTGGGGGACCTCAGGCAAAGTGACCCAACCTCTCTGAGCCTAAACAACCATAGTTCGGAATACTTGAGAGGCAGTAGGATGGTTCAAATCAGGGCTCTGGAATTTGAGAGACTTAGACTACTGATCAGTCATGTACCCGAGGCATGACACTTCATCACATTAAACCTCAGGTTCCTCAGCTGGAAACAGTAATAACAGTATTTTCTGCCTCACAGGACTGTTATGAAGTCAGTAGATAAGAAAATGAACACAAAGCTTGTAGCCCAGTGCCTGACACATAATGAACTTTCATTAACTGTGGCTATTACCATTTCTGGCTTGGCTGGGTTCTCATAAGGATTAAATGAAAAAAAGAATGTTCTAAAAGAATCTAGTACTATGCTTTGCATCAAGTGGATGTCCATTAACGTTAGTGATGATGACAATTATTATCAGGGAACCCCGATGGAGACAACCTAAGGATGGCAGCAGGAAAAGAGAGAGAGGTTGAAAGAGCAGGAAAAAAGCCCTAGAGGGTTGGGGAGCCTGGGTCGGTAGGAGAGAAGGCTGAGGAGACCTGAACTGGGACGGTCTGGGTCACCGTATTAGCCAAGAAGGGTTAAGGAAGGTGGGCAAAGAGTTCATATCTCACCTGTTAGAGACAAAAATGAGCTTGTGTTTCAGGTATTTCTTCCGTTCCTCGGGATTAACTGTGCGGGACAGACGGGAGACAGGGGAGGTCAGGGGATGGGACACAGCGCCCCAGGGGACAGACGGGAGGCAGGGGAGGTCAGGGGATGGGACACATCGCCCCAGGGTCCCCCTGTGCAGGTGGTCCTGACTGCCGTGTCTGCTTGCTGACAGGCATCCCACAGACAGACCCCTTCCCTCCTTCGGACGTTGGCTTTCCCACGACGCCACGGAGGAGCTGTGCGAATGGATGCCTGTGGACCCCTGCACTCTGCAAGGGAAGCGCATCAGTGGTTCTCACTTTTCTCCTGGGAGGAGCACCCAAAAGCCTCATCCCGGGGGATCCGCGGGTAGAGGAAGCGCAGCGGGTTCTCGGGTACGTTCTCCTCGGTCAGCATCTGGTACTGGCTGATGATCCTGGTGAGCGGCAGTGACTGCAGCACCTCCTTGGTGAAGGGCTGCACGGAGTTGATGAGCACCTCGTCTGGAGAGTGGATGGAGGGACAGGCAGGCTGGAGAGCAGAGGCTGGGCCACCCCAAACCTGCCGAGGGATCTGGGGCAGAGCCGGGGAGCCAAGGGCAGGAGAGGGGAGGAAAGGAGAGGCTGAGGGGACGGCGGGGCTGCTGACCGTCATCTTGGTGTTCCACCCAGGAGCAGGTAATGCCCCCCTCCAACGTCTCGCTGAAGCGCAGCAGGAAGGTGCCGGAGACAGTCTTCTTCAGCAGCCGGCGCACCTGGTTCCGGCTCACGAAGCCCATGATGCGTCTGCAGCGCGAGAGCAGCTGTGAGGCCCTGCTGCTTCCGGCTCCCCGTGCAGACGGGCAGAGTGCCAGGGCTGGGCCCCAGCTCGGCCAACCTGTTACAGACCGCTCTGTGCTGGCCAGGTCATTTCACTGGACTGACAGTCTCCACCCCCCAGGGCTGGAGGAGGTGTGAAGCTTCAGTGAGAGCACGCGGGTGAAACGCCCCCTGTGAAAAGCACAGCGCTGCCAGAGCGAGCGGGCAGGCTGTGTGGCAGGAGGTGCTCACGGGTGGGGTCAGACCGCCCCGGGGTCCGATCCCGACTGCCCCCCGGGCTCACTCCCTTAACCTCACGTCCTCGCTTGAGGGTGGCGACACCCACCACGCAGCAGGGCTGGAAGGGTGACATGAGCGAACTCATCAAGAGCACCTAGCAGGCTCTGGAACGCAGCGGACGCCTGGCAAATGCAGGCCAGGAGACTGCCGCTGAGCACGTGCGGGGGTGTGACCCCGCGGCGGGTTCGCACTCTCCCTCTCCCTGCCACACGGGGGCGCACAGAGTCCTCGCTCCAGCCCGGAAAGGCAGCGGGGCAGAGGGAGACTGACCAAGGCCTTACCCATCCTTCCAGAGATCCTTCAGGTGGTCATGTATCAGGTCCAGAATCTTGTCGAGCCACGTCCAGAACGGTAGCTTGCCAGGGGGACTCTCTCGCTGGAGGAGGAACAGCAAGGCAGGAAGGGGTGCAGAGCTGCCCCGGCGTGGAGGGGGAGGGCTGGGGGAAGGGCCAGTAACTGCACGGGGCGGGGACCCAGCTGCAAGGATGCGGGGAATTACCTTAACGAAGTCGACCCAGGGCAACGACGCATCCTCAGTCCTGGAGTTCTGCCCTGTGGAAGGAAGTTCAAGATGATGGAAGGAGGCAAGGCCAAAGGCCCTGGGGCAGAAAGGATGGAGGGCTGGGGCAGAGAGAGGCTAGGGCAAGGCTGAGAGAAAAGAAGTGTCGGTACCAAACAGCTTGTCCCTCAGCATGCCCAGCTGGTCTGAGTCGAGGCCTCGATTAACATAGGAGGAGAACTGCCAACTGAGAGCAGGGCCCAGCAAGCTCCACGGGGCCTTCGGGGGGCTGGAGAAGAACTGCTGGTCCTGCAGCGGCGGGAGGGGACAGGGTGGCTCAGAAGCAGCGCCCTCATACCAAGCTCCACGCCCCTCCCGGCCTCCCTTCCCTGGCGGGCCCCACCTCCTACCTCAGGGTTTGAGCTGAGCAGATTGAACCACAGAACCGAGGCCCAGGCAACTGAGAGCTGGTTCATGTTAGAAATAATCACCACAGGGAGGGTGTCCGTCTGAGGAAGGGACAGAGATCACCACCGAGGGATGTGACGTTCCCAACTGCAGACGCTTGCCAAGGGCCTGCCCGCAGCCACCCTCAAGGGTTTCTGCTCAGCCCCTCCCTGTCTCCCCACAAAGGCACTTCATTTTCACTCACTGTCAGCTCCTGCTTCAGACCCTGGTAGGTGTATCTGACTGTGAAGCTAATGATATGCAATTCCTCTGTAACGGACAGCGGCCCCTGGGACAACACAAGGCTCAGTGATCAGAGTGCCCCTAGCGACTTCCTCCCGCCCCCAACCCTCTATCCAGGCCTCACCTTATTGTTGCCTTTTCCAGAACCCCCTGAACGCTGCTCCACCAGAGTCTGTGAATGGAAGAGAGGGAGAAAGAATGCCAGAGAAGGGACCCCAGGGCCCCTGGAACCCCGGTTTTGCCCTCAGGACTTCCCAGGGCCTGGGAACTTCCCCCAGCCTGTTCCACTGCACTACAAGCTTAAAACAGCATCCCTCTGGGACTTCCCTGATGGTCCAGTGGTTGAAAATCTGCCTTCCGATCAACATGGGCTTAATATCTGGTCTGGGAACTAAGATGCCACATGCCACAGGGCAACTACGCCCATGTACCACAACTAGAGATCCTGTGTGTCACAACAAAGGTGCCATGTGCTGCAACTAAGATCCAATCCAGCCAAATAAACAAAAATAAATATTAAAAAAAAAAAAAGCATTCCTTCTTAACCACCTTACCAGGTAGCCAAAGTCCCAAATTAAGCCCTGAGTCTGGCCTTTCTCAGGGGTCAAAGTTTTCTGGTTTGAGGTCAGAAGGTTGAACTTCCGGAAGCTGTTCCAAGGAAAAAGAAGATACATGGAGGTCAGGAGCAGAGTCCGGTAGGAAAACAACAAAAGTTCCACTTCATTTCAGACATCCCCCCTCCTTTCCCTGTCTATGCACCACACAAATCAACCTCCTCCTGGTCTGTGTCCCCAGCAGGCCCACAGTCACACGTGACTGTGTAGCTCATGCAGTGCACAGAGTCTGCAGCATCCTTGTTAGGTACCTACCCTTGTGATTTGGGAGGATTCCTAAAAAGAAAAAAAAATCATTAGGAAGCAAAATAATGTAGAAGTAAGGGATTCAGTCTTTGGGGTCAGACAGACCTAAGTTCAAATAGCTCACCAGTTATGTGGCTTGCACTAGAGACATAAATTCTCTGAAGTTACTTCTTCATTTGAATAGTGCATTGATAATATCTAACTCCTGGGGTTCCTGTGACAATTTTAAATTGGGTACTTGACAAGCTACATGTCACACAGTAAGGACTCAAAAGGGATGAACTATTTCTATGAGGTAGTAATGGAAGGGGAAAGAACACAGCCCAAGGGCTGGTTGTGAACGGTAGCTGTCTCCTCCACTCCATCACCCCATGTCCTGGGCACCTCCTGGTCCCACCCTTCACCTGCCCCAACTAACCTGTCAACGGAGACTTCCGCAGTCAGTGATTCACTGCCTTCCTGGAGCCTCACTAGCAGCCTGGAGGAGAGGGAGGTAGATGGGGGGAAGTGGTCAACCTCAATCTCCTGGATAGAACAGATGTTTAAGAAAGATAAGGGAAGAGATGAGAAGAGGTGAGTGGACCGAGGGGAAATGAGAGAAGAAACAGCTCAGAATGAGAAGATCTGAAAAGCCAAAGAGCACACAGTGTCAGGAAAAAGGAAGCAGGCATGAGTTCTGAGATGCCAACCTTGTTCGGACGGTGAACTTGCTCCCTGTCTTGAGGATGAGGGGTCGATGAAGAGTCTGGGGCATGCAGGGCTGACTTTCTACTACAAAGGCTCTGGAGAGACATGGAGAGAAGACACAGAGGTCAGTATCTGTGGGAACGGCCCCCGGGCCCTCTCCCGCTGGCCTCCCTACCTGTGGAGCAGGCGCTGCAGCAGCTCTGTGACCTGGGCCCCCCGCAGGTCCACGCCTTTGCCCAGAGGGTCCCCCTCGTAGGAGACCATGTGGCTCAGCTCCCTCAGCTCCTTCAGCAGCTGCCGCAGGTGGAACAACAGCTTCGCTCCATCTGTGAACCTGGGTGACGACACAATCCAAGGAAGAAAGAACCATGAGCTTCCTGGGACCCCCAGACAGGCCCCCAAAGCGCCTCTTTAACTACGTGGAAAGTCATAAACTGATCGGGACAAGAAAAGAATCCAGGAAGTGTATGAAAGATTATTCAACACTGTCCATAATGCAGGGGATGAAAGTGAAAGCCACTTTCACATATAAAACCAGTAAAAGATTCATTAACATAATAAAGTTAACACATGATGCTTGATCTCTACTTTTTTTTAAAGTGCTTTACACATCTTCATGCATTTAATTCTTAAAACAACCCTGTGAGGTAGGTACCATTTTACCCCTATTTTAGGGAGGATAAAGCTGAGGCACAGAGAGAGAGTAAAGTGACTTGCTCAAGGTCATAAAACGGGTAAGAAGTGAAGTTGTATGTGGCCCCAGGCAGTCTGGCTGTACAATTCATACTTTAAACTTCTATATTTTACTGTTTTTATAATAAGAAATAATAGCAATAGACAATGTGGTAACAGGAAAACAATCATCCACTATATAAAGGCAAACAGATTGGGATAACAGTTTGTAACTATTTTTTAAAAAGCCTTAAGAATGTACATATGCTTTACAGTATTCCATCTCTAACATACATCCTAAGGAAATAATCAAACAATCGGACAGACAGATGGTCACAGTTCATGGCTTTGTTGTCTGTAATAGAAAAATTAGAAACAATTGGTATTGGGTATATGTGGTGGTAATTTAGTTGCTAAGTCATGTTCGACTCTTTGAGATCCCCAGGTATAAATTATGTTATAGTTACATCATGGAATACTATGCAACCATTAAAAATAATGATAAAATAGGTGGAAAATTTTAATATGGAAAATATTCAAAAATATTAAATTAAAAATATAAGATAGCATACATATATGGTATAATCTGACTTCTGTTTAAAACAGATGTATATTTGTGTATATGCATAGGGAAAATCTGGAAAAATGTATTCAAAAGCATTGACAGTGGGTACCTCTGCATGATCAGATTATGCAGATGGATAATTTTTACTTCTTTTCCTCTTTTCAGTAGTCTGAAATTTTTTCAATTGGCATATATTTACAATCAGAAAAAGCAATAAAGCTCTTTGTATATAAAAACAATGAAATAAAAGAACACCACAGTAACAGCACCACCACCAAGAAGATATATTCTCCAACCCGGGAACATCACTTCCAATAACTTAGAGAAATAAATTAGAGCTGTAAATAAAGATGTAACTATGAGGTTATTTCTGGAGGAGGAAAAGGCAACGCACTCCAGTATCCTTGCCTGGAAAATTCCACGAACAGAGGAGCCTAACAGGCTACCGTCCATGGGATCACAAAGAGTTGGACACAACTCAGCACACACGCAAACGCACAAGAGGTTATTTACTGTGGCACTGCTTACAACAGTGACGAATCGAGAATTCCCTGCCAGTCCAGGGGTTAGCACTTCCACTGTAAAGGAGATGGGTTTGTCCTTGGTCACGGAACTAAGATCCACAAGCCGGCACAGCACAGCCAAAAATAAAAAAAGCAAGAAACCACGCACAGGCCATAGTTCGCCAATCCTGCAACTGTAATTTAAACACTTATCCTGTACCCTGACCCTATACACCTGTTTTCAGTTTACCTGAACAGTTGTGATATAGTTTTACTTATTTATTTGTTAACTTTCAGCTGCACCACATAGCATGCAGGACCTTAGTTCCCTGACCAGCAATCGAACTCATGCCCTCTGCAGTGGAAGGGTGCAGTCTTACCACTGGACCGCCAGGGTAGTTCCCTGTGGTATATTTTTAATAAATTGCTGCTGCTGCTGCTGCTAAATCACTTCAGTCGTGTCCGACTCTGCTCAACCCCATGGACAGCAGCCCACCAGGCTCCCCCATCCCTGAGATTCTCCAGACAAGAACACTGGAGTGTGTTGCCATTTCCTTCTCCAATGCATGAAAGTGAAAAGTGAAAATGAAGCTGCTCAGTCGTGTCTGACTCTTAAGTGACCCCATGGACTGCAGCCCACCAGGCTCCTCCGTCCATGGGATTTCCCAGGCAAGAGTACTGGAGTGGGGTGCCAATGCCTTCTCCGTTTAATAGATTAAGTTATAATAAATTTTCCTATGAGAAAATATTTAAATAATAGGTATCTTTCAAATCAAATATATTGAAGGACACATTAGTTATTTTTTTTACATCACAATAGGTAATATAAGATAGTTTAATAGAAAACAATAGCAAGAAATTAAAAGCAACCCGAATATCCAAATATAGGTGTTTATTAATTAAATTATATTATTCCCATAAAGGGAACTATGACACATCTATTAAAAGCATCATGGGTAGGGACTTCCCTGCTGGTTAAGACTCCAGGCTTCCACCGCAAGGGGCATGGGTTTGATCCCTGCTTGGGGAATTAGGGTCCCACATGCCGTGTGGTATGGCCAAAACAACCATATCACAAATAAATATTATATACTGCTAAGTTAAAAAAACAAACTCACAGGTCTCAAAGTAGTTTGAACAATACATTTCAATTTTTGTTTAATAATAATATAGTAGCTACAACCAGATATTAAGGTAACAGGTAATTTTCTTTTCCTTTTTTTGTGGCATTATATTCACTGCACTAAAAAAAGGTAAAAAGATAATTCTCTGGTGATTATGAAGAGGCAGGAAAAATTGGACTGTGGATCAATTCATTATCTTCCCCAAAGCAAAGACTGGGCTCTGGGCTTGATGGGCGGCGAGAACGAGAGCAGCGTGTAGCTGCGGTCAGACAGGGAACTGAGACCATTCTGGGGAGTAGAGATTGAGGGGGACGGTGTCTCCAGTCATAGAGAGGCCACCGCGTGTGTGCTCCGCCACTCGACAGTGTCTGACTGTGACCCCGCGGGCTGTAGCCTGCCAGGTTCCTGTGTCCGCGCGATCTCTCAGGCAAGAAAACTGGGGTGGGTTGCCATGTCCTCCTCCAGGGGATCTTCCCGACCCAGGGACTGAATGCGGGTCTCCTGCATTGCAGGAGGATTCCTTAACACTGCGCCACTGGAGAAGCTCATTCAGGGCATTATAATCTACGAGGCACAGGCGGAAGTTAGGACTAGGGACAGGTGAGCGTGAGGTGGGGGAGCTGCCTCTCACCACTTTTCCAGCTGTTCCAACCCTCCGACAGGGGGCGCTCCAATGCAGGCTTTCTGCTGCTGGACTTTCCATTCCTCCAACTTGGGCAGCAATAGCTCAATTAAGGTAGTTAACTGGCCTAGCAGTGCTTTGGAGACATCCAGCACCTCCTATGGTAGACATAAAGTAAGTACTGAGAGCCTCTCGCCATTACCCTCCACCATCCAACGAGGCGTGAAGAGACAAAGGAACCAAGGCCAGGAAGCCAGGGCTCCTGATGCCTCATTTTCCCCAGTTCCCTGCTGCCCGCTCCCTCTGTCCTCTGACTCCCACCTTTCTCTGTCTGTCCAGTTCATTGAGTGTTTCCTGAAGAATGTCCATCCGTCTGGTCTGACGGGGGTCCAAAGAAGGTGTCTTCACTGGATGGCAGGAGACGGCGGGAGACAAGTGCTCAGACCTAGGGCTCCTCACCCCTCCTCCCCCCTCCTCCCCGACCCAGACCTCAACTAGAGGCAGGAGACGGGAGTTTCAGAGGGAGAAGAAGGGGAACCAGGACAAGCACAGGCACTTCTGGGCCCTCAGGCAAATGCTGCATCACCTTGCTAGAACCAGAAGCCCACTCCATCGGCCAAGGCAGTTTCCCAAACACCTCCTCCAACCTTCACCAGCTATCCCTCGGTTTATATCACTACCCTGACCTCTACGACATACCCTGCCACTTCCAGCGTTGCAGGGCAGCAGGACTATAACCAGCAAGATGCAGCCACAAGTGATCACCACTTACTGGGACTTTCCCCTTCTGCTCTACTCTACCCTCCACCTCCCGGTAGGCACCCCACCCCCCAAAGTGCTGTCTACCTGATTTCTCGATATTATATCGGAAACAGAAGACATCCTGCTGGTCTTTCAGTTGGCTGATGGATTTCACCAGCTTCTGCAGAAGAGATGAGACCCCAGTGAGGCTGCCTCCGTGAGAGGAGGCAGGTTGAGTCCTGCCCGCCCTGGCTCTTGCCGCATCTACCAACCTCCTTCATAGCCTGTAATTTCAGGATCCGGGAATCAAGTTCATGCTGCTGGCTCTCCCCAGGTGCTTCAGGGGCTGGCTCTCGTTGCTCCTGAAATAAAAGGCTATGAGCACATTTCAACTCTGACCTGTCACCCCTAAAATCCAGACCTGAAATTAAATCACAGGATGTGGAGAGATCTTGTTCTGAGGCAAATTTCCTGAGTCTTTGGCATGGTCCCTCTCTACTCCAGGAGCTTTTCAACACACCACCAAACTGTTCTCACCAGCTGAGCCCTCTGAGCCTGGGTCAGAATTCTTTTTTCTTCCAGAAGGAGGTTAAAGATCATCTCAGCCAACTGGGTAGAGCCAGTGGGAAGGGCCTGCAGTAGGAAGAGAGGAAGAAGTGACAGAACTCAACTGCCATCAATGAACTACCACCTCAGACCCTCCCCACTGGTGACCTCGGTACTCTCCCCTTCTTCAGGATCCCAAGCGCTACCCCTTTTCACCACTGGTTCCTCAAACCCCAGCCTCTTTAATAGGATCACCTAGACTCTGCCTTTCTCACTTCCAGGGATCCCCTAAATACAGACTCTGTCCTTTTCCCCCCAAATCTTCTCCTGTCCATTTGAACCTACAGGTCTTGTTCCATGTTCCATATCCAGAAAGTCCTCCTCTTCACGCAGCTCCCATTCCTACTCTGTTACCCCCGCTCCTCCGAGCACCTGAACGTCCCTCCATATCACGCAGCTCCCATTCCAACTCTGTTACCCCCGCTCCTCTGAGCACCTGAACGTCCCTCCATATCACGCAGCTCCCATTCCTACTGTGTTATCCCGCTCCTCCAAGCACCTGAACGTCCCTCCATAGCACGCAGCTCCCATTCCTACTGTGTTACCCCCGCTCCTCTGAGCACCTGAACGTCCCTTCCATATCACGCAGCTCCCATTCCTACTGTGTTACCCCCGCTCCTCTGAGCACCTGAACGTCCCGATAGAATTTTCGCAAGTTGTGCTGTAGCAGAAAATACTCGGGGTCTTGGCTGCATCGGCCACACTCAGAGTTGAGTTGGTCCAAGAAGTGGAAGAATAGCATATTAGCCATGGCAGCATCGTTTCCCAGTGCGGCTTCCTGCCTGGGGACCAGGAAGAACAAGGATGAGTGTGTCTGCAGGACTAGTACTATTGTGAGGCCTTTCAACCCCTTCAAGGTTTCTCCAGGATCCTGGGGGCTCAGGAGAAAGAAATCACTCTCTTCATCCCCCCGCGATTCCCAGAAGGCCTCACCAGTTCTGATCTTCAATCCAGACAGCCAAGTGCTGTCGAACGTCCATCGGTAGGAGGCTATTTGAGTAGAGTTCATGCAGCTGGTCCTGAAACGGGCTGTCAAGGTTCTGCAGCATCTCCCACTGCGCCATCTGGGGTCTGAGCCTCAAGGATGCAGATTCCCAATTGGAAACTTTGCTGGACTAAATCATCCACAGTCTCATGATTATTTATTATCACAAATTTAAAAATTAAACCATACCAGCAAGAAAAAAATTAAAGTCTAGATTGATCCCACTTCCAATCTTGGGCCCTTTTCCTTCTCTCCAGAAGTAACCAGTATTACCAGTTTGGTGCATATTTTTCCATGGAGTATTATTTAAGAGCTCCAATGTGTAGGCCTTTTTTGTTTCAGTGGTAATTTTCAAACACACAACAAAGTTGAGTGAGTAGTACAAGGATCATCCATGTACCCATCACCCAACTTCAACAATCGGTAATGGTATTTCCACAATCTTTATTTCATTTATCTCCCCAGTGAACTTATACATGCATTTGCTTGGTTTTGTATACACTTATGCTAGACCATTTAAAAGTCAGTGTTGAGTTTTTATTTCAGCATTATCCCTGCTGGCCCCAAACCTTTTATCAGAGGCTGAAACCTCCGTGGAGATAAACTGCTCTCCCAGTTGGAAGGAGGAGCTCCACTCTTTACCAGCTGCTTAAGACGCCTAAACACTGTGGAAGGGGTCACTCAATCCCTAGGACTATGACACTTTTATGACCTCTGTCAATTTCTAATTCTTCGTGTGGATTATCAACTTTGTGAGATAATCAACACACAAATTTCAATTGAGTGAAACCAATTTCACTCAAAACTGGTTTTTGCCGGTCACCAAACAGGCTGGGTGAAGAACTGTTCTCCTTACCTCTCCCTGCCCACTGCCATCTGTCTGTTTAGAAAATCTAAACTTCTTGCAGCCTAAGCCTAACAGAAAAGAATAAACACCCCCTTCTGTGGGCAAAGAAAAGGTCACATTTTAATTACAACACATGCTTAGGGTGGGGAAGATTCTTTTCCACCAGTAATCATTTCTTCCTCTGGGAAGTAGGAACAGGGGAAGAAAAGAATTGGGCAGGGGCTCCGCCATTTTAACCCTTTTAATAGAGCTTGACTTTTTAAACTCTGTATTTGTATTGCTTTAAAAAAAAAAAAACAAATGACCAGGCCTCAGTTCCTAAGGAACTAATCAGCTTGTATTAATAAAGCAAAGCAGCAAGTAAACCCTGAGGTTTAAATATGAAAAATAAAAACAAAAAACCTGGCCTTCTTAAATAGATTGCAAACACGGAGGTTAAGGGCTAAAAACTCTTCTTTCTCCAGTTACCTATTACTCGTTCAGGTGCACATTTTGTTCTCCACAAGGTTTTCTGAATTGAACTGTAATTTTTTTCTTCTGCTGAGGATCAGAAATAACACAGACCAACCTGGAGTGGGATGGAGTGGAAGGTGGGAGGGAGGTTCGCGAGGGAGGGGACACATATATACCTATGGCTGATTCACGCAGATACATCGCAGAAACCAACACAACACTGTAAAGCAATTACCCTCCAATAAAACAAACACACAGACCAAAAGGTGAAAGTGTTGGCCAAGACGCTGCACCAATGCAACAACGCCAGGTTTCGGGTCTTGGAGGTCGGGGTGTTTCTGGAATGGGGCATTACGATTGGACCCCTAGGTTGGACAGGAGGGGCAGCAAGCGACAGCTCCTATTTCTACCTGGAAACAGAGTCTGACCCCTCCGGGGTGTACCCGCCCGGGCCTACCTTCCATCTGAGGAGAAAACTCGCTCCTCCACCTACACCCCCGCGCGCCCCCTCAAGGCCAGTACCTGGTCAGGGTCTCAGCCCAGGTCCCTGCAGCAGCTCCGGCCCAGGCTTCCGCTCGCCAGAAAGCGTTCCGGCACCAGGGCCTCCAGAGACGCCCTCGGCTTCAGCCGGCGTCTCGGACCCGCCCCCTTTCCGCAGGCTTGAGAAAGAGGCAGAATCTCAGAGCTCGTCACGTCCAGACGGGCACCTCGGCACCGGCTGCCAATCAGTCAAACGCTTCCCCAGGCCGTGAGCTCATTGGCGCCACCACAGCACCACCTCTCCGAGGGGCGGGGCAGGAGGAGCCGAAGCCACACCCCCAGCGGCCGCAAACGGTGGGCGGGCTCAAGTAAGCCCCGCCCCGTGCGTGCGGAGGGAGGAGCCCAGTTAGCAGAATTGCTCGGGACTGAAACAGCTGATTTCCGAGAAGCAGAACCCACTCGGCGGAACCGAGACTAGTTCAAGATCTTGGAGGCGTTGACCTAAGAAGCGGGCGGAATTGCGACACTTCGGGACGGGAAGGGGCGGGCATAAGTAACAACACCAATAACAATGACAAAAGCTGCTTTATTGTTGGTACGGTGCTAAGCATTAGTACAGCGTATCGTTTCTAATTTCCACGAAACCTCTTGAGATGCAAATCATTACCCTCACTTTAGAAATTTTAAAAAGCTGAGTTTGGAGAAATAAGTTACTGGTCAATGGTCACTGAAGCTCTAACAAGTGGAGCCTGGATTCAAAGCCAAATCCTCTGATTCCAAACCAGAAACTTTAAAATTCTTACATGTTACAGTACTGCTTTTCTCCTTGATAAGAAATCAGAGATTTGGATTTTGAACACACACATTACAAGTTACAGGATACTAGGTCTAGTAATCAGTGTTTACCACCTTCTTTTATTATTTACTTATTTATTTTTGGCCACATCGCCAAAAGGTGAGCAGAAAAACGTTAGCTCTTCTCATTCCCCTCTTTCTTTGCCTTTTTGTAATCTCAGAACACTTATCCTGATCTGGTTATGGATTGCAGTTTATAGAAGGGAAGGAATCAGAGTAGAGTTCTGCTGGATTAAGTGGACTGGATTGAATTCTCTTTAGTCAGAGGTCACTATCTTTTTATTTTATTATTGTTTATTTTGGCTGTGCTGCACGGCTTGCATGATGTTAGTTCCCTGACCGGGGATTGAACCTAGGCCCTCTGTCAGTGAAAGGGTTCAGGCCTAACGGTTGGCTCCTGCCACCTTCTTTTATATCCTAATATTCCAATACCTAGGATCTAAGCCACAGTTGTTGAATAAGGTCCACCCCCAGCATGGATTTGAACTTACTACTTCTGACACGAAAGGGGCCATGATAGTTGTTTCTTCCACTTCACTCATATCTGAGGTGCTCCCCAAGACCTCCTCGCTGGTCTCTGGTGGAGGGGTGTTTGCCTCCCTCTCGTAGTAATACTGGATCAGCCGCTGAACCCCAGCCTTCAGCACAGGTTTAAGTGCAATGCCGATCTGTAGCCCTGTGGGTCCCCCTGACGTTCCAGCCATGGCCAACAGAAGGTCATATCCCAGATCTATGACCCCATCTCGCCCTCGTTCCTTGGCCATGTCCGAGCAGTTCCGAAGAGCATAATACACTGCTGTGCCCAGGTTGTAGAAGGTCCCCACTCCCGGCAACATCTGGACTACGTTGTGCACACTCTTCTCCTGCTCCTGCTCACAGTCTTTGACGGAGGGTGACCGTCGGGCTCTCCGTGGGCCTGGCTTCTCTCCAGCCCACAGCTGCAGAGCAGAGGTCAGGGCATCTACTGACACTCCCGTCCCTCTGCTTCTGCTTCTCTCCAGCTCTTGCAGATGTCTGATGAGGGTCTGTGTAGCGTTTACACCCCCTTGGCGGTACAGCCGCAGCTGCAGGACCCGTACATCAGCTTGACAACCAGCTCTCTCCAGATTCTAATTTCCACGAAACCTCTTGAGATGCAAATCATTACCCTCACTTTAGAAATTTTAAAAAGCTGAGTTTGGAGAAATAAGTTACTGGTCAATGGTCACTGAAGCTCTAACAAGTGGAGCCTGGATTCAAAGCCAAATCCTCTGATTCCAAACCAGAAACTTTAAAATTCTTACATGTTACAGTACTGCTTTTCTCCTTGATAAGAAATCAGAGATTTGGATTTTGAACACACACATTACAAGTTACAGGATACTAGGTCTAGTAATCAGTGTTTACCACCTTCTTTTATTATTTACTTATTTATTTTTGGCCACATCGCCAAAAGGTGAGCAGAAAAACGTTAGCTCTTCTCATTCCCCTCTTTCTTTGCCTTTTTGTAATCTCAGAACACTTATCCTGATCTGGTTATGGATTGCAGTTTATAGAAGGGAAGGAATCAGAGTAGAGTTCTGCTGGATTAAGTGGACTGGATTGAATTCTCTTTAGTCAGAGGTCACTATCTTTTTATTTTATTATTGTTTATTTTGGCTGTGCTGCACGGCTTGCATGATGTTAGTTCCCTGACCGGGGATTGAACCTAGGCCCTCTGTCAGTGAAAGGGTTCAGGCCTAACGGTTGGCTCCTGCCACCTTCTTTTATATCCTAATATTCCAATACCTAGGATCTAAGCCACAGGTGTTGAATAAGGTCCACCCCCAGCATGGATTTGAACTTACTACTTCTGACACGAAAGGGGCCATGATAGTTGTTTCTTCCACTTCACTCATATCTGAGGTGCTCCCCAAGACCTCCTCGCTGGTCTCTGGTGGAGGGGTGTTTGCCTCCCTCTCGTAGTAATACTGGATCAGCCGCTGAACCCCAGCCTTCAGCACAGGTTTAAGTGCAATGCCGATCTGTAGCCCTGTGGGTCCCCCTGACGTTCCAGCCATGGCCATCAGAAGGTCATATCCCAGATCTATGACCCCATCTCGCCCTCGTTCCTTGGCCATGTCCGAGCAGTTCCGAAGAGCATAATACACTGCTGTGCCCAGGTTGTAGAAGGTCCCCACTCCCGGCAACATCTGGACTACGTTGTGCACACTCTTCTCCTGCTCCTGCTCACAGTCTTTGACCGAGGGTGACCGTCGGGCTCTCCGTGGGCCTGGCTTCTCTCCAGCCCACAGCTGCAGAGCAGAGGTCAGGGCATCTACTGACACTCCCGTCCCTCTGCTTCTGCTTCTCTCCAGCTCTTGCAGATGTCTGATGAGGGTCTGTGTAGCGTTTACACCCCCTTGGCGGTACAGCCGCAGCTGCAGGACCCGTACATCAGCTTGACAACCAGCTCTCTCCAGAGCGATCATCAGTGGCAGGCTTACCAGGAACCTGGGGAGAGGGGCCATCTGAGTGAAGCCAGGGAGGGAATTGGGAAGAAGGGTCTGGCAAGACAAGGGGTATGAGGAAGTTAGCGAGGATTCCAAGGGTGAAGGAAGATGTAGTAAGACATCCGTCTGGTTTCCAGATGAAATGGCGTCTGCAGTGTGCAGCAGGAAGCAGCAGAGAAGTAGCTCAAGTGGTAACATGATGCGTCTGAGACCATGCAGGTCCGTAGCAGAGTGCACTGGAGAGGGGAGAAACCAGAGGGATACAAACCATTTCCGTAAGGGCTGTGGTCCAAAAGGAGCCCAGGACTCGGGGCGAACCTCATCTCTTACCTCCAAATTTCTGATCTTTTTTAGCTAAAGGACTAAAACCCAGGAAACTCAACCCGATTGTTCTCATTTGACCTTCTCCATCTTCAGGTCTTCCTCAGCATGATTCCCACCCATTTAGAAGGAGCTCCAAATTACCACACAGTCCAGTGATTCAGAAGTGAGACCGCCTTGATGGATTTGGTAGCTCCTCGATCCTGTTCTGCCGACTCCTCTGCCCCATGAAGAGAGCAGATGTACTGGCTTTCCTCTAGTATCAGTAATAGATGTAATCTCTGCAAATATTTGTTCCTCTGTTCTGGCTTCTCAGACTTTGTGCACTTGTCCCACACTTGGCCTCAGTATCTAAAAACTTCGGCATTTGGCATTTCCAACCAGTCCCTGCCACGTTCCCACTTTAGCTCATGATAGAAGCTGGGAGACCCAGAATCAGAAGAGACTAGATGTCTATGATTCCCTTTTATTTCTCTTTTCAGTTTAAAAATTAAATTAGCAAGCTACAGTGTCTCATTGGGGTTTTAGTACAGGGGGATGGATAAGGAAAAAAGTTAAAATGCTTCTCATGCTGAGATGTAGTACAGGTACAGTATATGCTAACTGAAAGAAAAAATGAAAAATGGAATGTGAAATAAGGACTGAGAGCTACCAAGTGGAGAAGGGCAAGGTTAAAGCCAGCACTGGGATGAAATAGAGTATATCTATTCTAAGTAGTGTCCAACATTTCTGCCTACTTACTGTGTCCCATCTTATTTATTTATTTGCCTGTGTTTGGTATTTGTTCCAGCACCAGGGTCTTCGTTACATTGTGTGGGCTTCTCTCTAGTTGTGGTGCATAGTTGAGGGTGTATGGGCTTAGTTAACCTGTGGGATGTGGGATCTTAGTGCCCAGACCAGGGATCAAACCTGTGTCCCCTGCATTGGAAGGCAGATTCTTAACCACTGAACCATCAGGGAAGTCCCTGTCCCATCTTTGAACACTGTCCTGGGAGAGCAGACCTGTTTACAATGTGGCATTGAATATCTGCAGTAAAGAATCTGGACAAGTTCCTGAATCAGTTTCTCCATAAAGCACTTCAGAATAGCTGTAGAACATTTTGTAAATCATGTTGTCGTCATCCATAGACATTGAGAGGCTCTTAACTTGGGGATGTTTTAAGCTTTTTACCTAACTCTCCAACTAGTTCCCAAGACTCATACTGGCAGTTCTAGAAGAGGTTGATTCCAAAAGCTCTGAATTGTGTTACACAACATGGGAGATGGCTTCTCAGCGAGTTCCATCGCCATTCAAGTTAACTGGCAGACCAGCCCGCCCAAAGGGTTGTATTCACCATCATTAATAAACCTCTCAAGGTAAGTAGCTGAGTTTTTGATTCATCCGGTCCTCCCTGGGGGTCCCCCAAGATTCCTCAGAATGACTTTAGAATTGCCAGTGCCTTTTCCTTTGTTGTGCTTTTTGCTGTCACGGATGAGGGGTTCGGTCCTTTTCTCCTGTCTTAACAAGCTGAATGTGCAGAATGTGAGCCTCAGGCCGTGCAACCAGCCTCTCCCAGGAGCACCTCCAAAGCTAGGTTGGACAGATGCTCAAGCGGAGGGGCTAAGGAGGGGCCACATGCGAGAGATGCTGCAGGACCTGGTTGGAGAGCAGGTTCAGAGGATGCCCAGTTTCTGAGATAGGCTGCTGGAAGGTCGGGGCCCCTCCTTGGGCATGTCTTGGGAAGGCAGCCACTGGGGACGGCAAGACACAGCAAAGGAGTGGCGCAGCCTGGATCCCGTGGGCCCAGAACAGCCCCGCGGGAGAGCAGCAGCGCTCAGAGTGGGCAGTGGGGGAAGGCTTGGGGGGAAGAGACTCCAGGACTGCTCAGAGCTTGGAAGTGTCTCAGCCCTTAGAAACTTCAGTTACCCTGAACATAACTGAGCGCCTTCACTTTCACGCGCTGGAGAAGGAAATGGCAGCCCACTCCAGTGTTCTTGCCTGGAGAATCCCAGGGACGGGAGCCTGGTGGGCTGCCGTCTACGGGGTCGCACGGAGTCGGACACGCTTGGCGTGACTCGGCAGCAGCAGCAGCAGTCCTGCCCCACATCCCCAAGTTCTAAGGTTTTACCCTGGACCTACACATGAGATGAGGGAAGTTTCCTCTGTAGATTCTGAAAGGGAGAAGAGGTAAGGTAAAAAGACTGATGATCTCTGGCAAGAGACTCCCCAAAATGTTTAATAAGTTCTCATTAAAAGGATACACTGGGTGAAGGTCTGGGGAAACTGAAAATATTGGTAAGTTGAATGAAATCAGTACAACTTTCACTTCTCACTTTTCTAATTCTAATGGAAAACATAAAAAAAAAAATCTATTCATCATCTGGGTAGTAACTCTTTCCATATCTAACCAGTACTCCAAAAGTTGGGAGTTTAGGGTTAAGCAGTTTCATCTAGGGTTTAGCAGTAAAGATGGTATCTGACGCCTTCTGAAACTAGTACAGGTTCCTACATATGGTTGCGGTAAAAAGCTTCCTCGGCGTTGTCACTCCCTTCTGATAGATAACGAAAGGTACAGGCCAGAGGGAGGGGCTCGTGGTCCTTCCCTCTATTTGTTTTATTTCTCTTAGTTCCCAGAGAGCAGATAGAAGAAGGAAGAGGGGTTGGTTTGTACAGACACACTACCGAACTGCTGGAAGCAAGAACCAGCTGCAAAGGGAGGGACCCTTTCTGCCTGAAGTTGCTGTCGTTTCCTCACTGAGTTGTGTCTGACTCTTTGCGACCCCATCCATGGACTGTGGCCCGCCAGGCTCCTTCTGTCAGTGGGATTTCCCAGGCAAGCACACTGGAGTTGGATGCTGTTTCCTCCTCCAGGGAAGCTTCCCGACCTGGGGATCACTGATGCCGCATCTGCTGCCTTGGTAGGTGGACTCTTTATCGCTGAGCCACCAGGGAAGTCCAGTTACCTGACTTTGCATGTGAGCGTGCTGAGTCAATTCAGTCGCGCCCAACTCTTTGCGACCCTGTGGACCATAGCCCGCCACGCTCCTTTGTCCCTGGAATTCTCCAGCCAAGAATACTGCAGTGGGTTGCCATTCCATCTCCCATCTTCCCAACCCATGGATTGAACCTGCGTTTCTTACATCTCCTGCATTGGCATGCGGATTCTTTACCACTAGATAGACCTTGAGGGCAATTTGCTAAATGAAATGTCAGACTCAGAAAGACATATACCTCCTGATGTCACTTATGTGTGGAATCTTTTAAGAAAAATTGAACTCATAGATACAGAGAACAGATTGGTAGTTGCCAGGAGGTGGGGACTGAGCAAAATGGATAGAGGAAGTCAAAAGGCACAAACTTCCAGTTAGAAAACTGAAAAGTCCTGGGGATGTGATGTACAACATGGTGACTATAGTTAATAATAATGTATATTTGAAAGTTGCTTAAAGAATAGATCTTAAAAATTCTCATCACAAGAAAAAAGTCCTAACTATATGTGGTGATGGATGTTAAATAGACTTATTGTGGTGATTGCTTTGCAATATATACAAATATCATATCATTATGTTGCACATCTGCAACTAATATGTCAATTATATCTCAATAAAAAGAAGAAACAAAAATGGGGATATTAATACTTGTTTTACAGAAGCAAAAAGGACTTTAAGAGAGAATCATGAATAGGTGTGGGCTTCCCAGGTAGCACTAGTGGGAAAGAACCCAGCTGCCAATGCAGGAGACGCAAGAGACTGGAGTTTGATCCCCGGGTCAGGTAGATCCCCTGGAGGAGGGCATGGCAACCCACTCCAGTATTCTTGCCTGGAGAATCCCATAGACAGGAGCCTGGAGGGCTGTGGTCCATAGTGTCGTAAAGAGTCAGACTTAGCATACATGGACGCATGAATAAGTATATGCTAATACATTTTATAATCTAAAGGAAACAGACAAATTGCTAGAAACACACAAATTGCTACCATGACTGAATCATGAAGTAATAGAAAATTTGAATATACCTTTAATTAATAGGAAGATTGAAACAGTAACCAAAATTTTCCTAATATGGAAAAGCCCCGGACAAAACGGCTTTATTGGTGAATTTTACCAAACAGTTGTGGGTTTTCTTTTTCATTCCTTTTTTCCTGCCAAACATTTGAAGAAGAATTAACACCACTCCTTCTCAGACTCTTTCAGTATATCAAAGAGGAGGAGACATTTCAAACTAATTCTAGGACACCAGTATTACCCTGATATCAGTGCTAGACAAAGACCCTACAAGGAGTGAAAACTACAGAAAATGTATTTCACACACACACACACACACACACACACACAAACTTATTAAAATTAATAAGCAAATTAAGCAAAACTACAGGATACAAAATCAACACCTCAAATTAGTTGCATTACTATACCCTAACAATGAAAAACATGGAAAAATGAAATTAAGAGAGAAAACAATTTTTTTACAACAAACTTTTTTACAACATCATCAAAAAGAATAAAATAATTAGGAGTAAACAAAGGAGGCAAAAAAAAAACCCCTATACACTGAAAACTACAAAACATTGATGACAGAAATTACATAGGCATAAATACACAGAAAGATATCACACCCATGGACTGGAAGACTTAATACTGTTAAGATACCAATACTACCCAAAGAGACGAACAAATCTGACGCAGTCTCTACCAAAATCCTAGTGATGTTTTTTGCAAAGTAGAGAAACCATCCTAAAATTCACATGGAATTTCAAGAGACATTGAATAGCCAGAGCAACCTTGAAAAACAAAATAAACTTGGAGAACTTGTTTCCTGATTTCAAAATTTATTACAAAGTTACATCACTCCAAAGAAGAAAGCAAATTTGGTGATCAGAAAGAAGTCAGTAAAATAAAAATGAAGTGGTTCCTGAAAATTAAAAAAAAGCTGTAGTAATCAAAACAGTGTGGTACTATATAATGACAGTTACCGCAAAGGAGCTGTTCTTCCAGGCCAATCAAAGCCACATTTGTGTGCTTCCATAAGCAGCTGAGATGCAGGTAGAGAATAATCCTCTTCTTAAAAATGAAGATACCAACTAGGATACACGACTCAACAAGGCTTGCCTCCCAGGAGAATATGCTTGGGCAAGGGAAAGCATTTCTTGAAAATATTTCTAGGTTAGCCCTAACAGATAACTGGACGAGAGACTTCATTAACATACTGGGAACTTATGAGAATCAATGAGAAAAGCAAAAGTTTCAATTTAAAAAATAAACTAAGAACAAAATTTGCAAAAACACACAAAAGCCAGTATGGTATAGGCATAGAAATAGAGATATAGGCTAATGGAATAGAACAGAGAACCCAGAAGTAAATCTTTGCTTATGTAGTTTAATAATTTTTTACCAGTGCGTTGAAACCATTCAATGAGATATATGGTGCTGAGGCAACTGGATATTCACATGCAAAAGAATGAAGTTTGACCCTTCCCTTATATTATATTCAAAAATTAACTTAGAATGGTTTAAAGGAACTTCCCTGGTGGTCCAGAGGCTAAGACTCTGCACTCCCAATAAAGGGTGTCTGGGTTCGATTCCTGGTCCCATATGCTGTAACTAAAGCTTGTAGTTACAAGGAAGATTGAAGATCCAGTGTGCTGCAACTAAAATCTGGCCCAGGCTAAAGAAATAAAAATATTTTTAAAAAGAATGGATTAAAGACTTGAACATAAGAACTAAAACCGCACAATTCTTAGA